CGGAGGCATCTGTCCATGAAGGACTAGTGAGGCAGCCAATTATTGAGGTTGATAGATCAGCTATACCACCCAGGTTTGACCGGGATACTAGAGAGCGTATGCTGAATGGATCCCATTGCAGCATTGGAGTGGCTCCAAGAGATGGAGCGTATTTTTCAGGTTATGGAATGCGATGCCAACATGAAGCTCCTATATGCGGTGTACATGTTACAGGGGGATGCTGCTGACTGGTGGAGTAATGTTAGAAACCCACTTGAGTGCCAAGGTTATGCTATTACTTGGCCATTATTTGAGAGGCATTTTCTGCAAAAGTACTTCCCTGAAGAAGCCAGGGAAAGGAAGAAGAGTGAGTTTGAAGACCTCCGGCAGGGAGGCATGACTGTGGATGAATATCTCAGCAAGTTCAACCGCTTGGCAAAATATTCTTGTTATGGTAGAACTCCCCTCACTCCAGAAGACAAGGCCTTTCGATTCAGGAAGGGTCTGAATGATATGATAGCAGACAAACTGGCGGGTCATTGCACCAGAAATTTTGTGGAGTTGATCAAGCAGTGCCAGAATATTCAGGAGCACTATCGTACCAGGGGAAAGGAAGCAGCAGGAAAGAGCTTCAGTGGGAGGACTACGCCCTGGAAGGGTAAGGGCAAGGGTTTGCAAGCACAGCAGAACACCAAGTTTAAGAAGACTCCCTTTGTGAAGAATGGAAGCGGAATGTTTAGTGCAGGGAAGATTCCCACTTGTGCCAAGTGTGGGAAGATGCATACAGGTGTTTGTCGACTGGGGCAGAATGTTTGCTTCAGTTGTGGTCAGGCAGGTCATTATTCCAGAGAGTGCCCCAAGAAGACGGGGCAAGTTGCAGCCATTCAGGCGATCCCTATTCAGTCTGTGCCTACTCAGAGAGCCATAGAGGAGCCTATGGCGCCCACTAGTGCCAGGGTATATGCAGTGACACAGCAGGAGGCAGAGAGGTCTCCAAACCTTATCAGAGGTACTATTCTTATCAGAGGATATGCTTTTGATGCCATGTTTGATTCTGGAGCTACCCACTCCTTCATATCGGAATTTGTTGCTAATGGGGTACATTTACCCATTTGTGAGTTCACGCCTCCCATGGTAGTGAAGACTGCCACCGGAGACATTGTTTCTACTTCCTTGAAGTGCAAAGAAGTCAGATTCATATATGAGCAAGAAGAGTATATGGTGGATTTGATAGTGCTTGAGGGCATGAATCTACACATTATCTTAGGTATGGATTGGCTGGTCCGATATGGTGTGATGCTAGATTGTTGTAGCAGAAGGGTTTTCTTTGCTGCAAAAGGAGAAAAACCGGACAGTTTGTACTTGACGGCACAAAAATTAAATAAGGCTCTAAATGAGGGAGATGCAGGATACATTATCCTGGGAGGACTCGTAGGAGACTCCAAAGAACCTACTGCTAATATTCCGGTTGTATGCGAGTTTGAAGATGTATTTCCGGAAGAAATTCCTCATTTTCCACCTGAGAGGGAGATTGAATTCTCAATTGACTTAGTACCTGGTGTGGGGCCTATCTCATTGGCTCCATACCGGATGTCACCAGTGGAGCTAGCTGAGCTGAAGAAGCAGTTAGAAGAATTATCCCGCAAGAACTTTATCAGACCGAGTGTATCTCCTTGGGGTGCACCAGTCATCTTCGTGAAAAAGAAGGATGGGACTATGAGGTTGTGCACTGATTATCGACAGTTAAACAAGGTAACAGTAAAGAACAAGTATCCTCTACCACGCATTGATGATCTGTTGGATCAGCTCAGGGGTGCTTCAGTGTTCTCAAAGATTGATCTTCGTTCCGGATATCACCAGATTCGGGTAAAAGCAGAGGATATTCCGAAGACGGCTTTCCGATCTAGATATGGGCACTATGAGTATCTAGTGATCCCATTTGGGCTTACTAATGCCCCGGCCGTGTTCATGAGTTATATGAACCGAATTTTCAAACCACATTTAGATCAGTTTGTTGTGGTATTCATTGATGATATTCTGATCTACTCCAAAAGTTAAGGAAGAACATGCAGAGCATTTGAAGATAGTTCTACAGATTTTAAGGGAGCATCAGTTATATGCCAAACCATCCAAGTGTGAGTTTTGGTTACATGAGATCCAGTTTCTTGGACACGTCATATCATCTACAGGAGTGGCTGTTGATCCGAGTAAAATTGAAGCTGTGCTGGATTGGGAGAGACCCAAGAGTGTTACTGAGATCCGAAGTTTTCTGGGTTTAGCAGGATACTACAGGCGGTTTATTAATGGATTCTCCAGAATTGCCTTGCCATTGACTAGGTTGACCCGAAAAGGGGTGCCATTTGCATGGACCCTTGGGTGTGATGTGAGTTTTCAAGAATTGAAAGATAAGTTGACTACCGCACCGGTTCTGATTCTTCCTGATCCGGAGAAGAGATTTGAGATCTATTGTGATGCATCCAAGTATGGATTAGGGTGTGTGTTGATGCAGGAGCGAAAGGTAGTGGCCTATGCTTCTAGACAGTTGAGACCACATGAAGAGAATTACCCTACTCATGATCTTGAGTTAGCGGCCGTGGTTTTTGCATTGAAAATATGGAGACACTTCTTGTATGGTGCTACCTTCACAGTTTTTAGTGATCACAAAAGCTTGAAGTATCTATTCGATCAAAAGGAGCTTAATATGAGACAAAGGAGATGGATGGAATTCCTGAAGGATTATGAGTTTGACCTTCAGTATCACCCTGGAAAGGCGAATGTAGTGGCTGATGCCTTGAGCAGAAAGACCACGGGTGTGGCTAGCATGATGATTGCAGAGTATGATTTGATTGAGGAGTTCAGGGATTTGCGAATTTCTGTGACACCATTTGAGACTTCATATTTCATGACTACGGTCGAAGTCCGAAATTCGTTAATGGAAAAAGTTAAAGCGGCCCAAGTGCTTGATGAAGGGATCCAAATGATGAAAGAGCAAGATTTTGTGTTCACCGATGCTTCTCATGTGAAATACTACAAAGATCGGTTAATTGTCCCGAAGGGACCAATGGTAGAAGAAGTGTTAACAGAGGGTTATATGGGTAAGTACACCATCCACCCAGGTGCAACTAAGATGTACCAAGATTTGAAACAGAATTTTTGGTGGTCTGGGATGAAGAAAGACATAGCCCAGTTTGTGAATAAGTGCCTTATTTGTCAGAAGGTAAAAATTGAGCATCAGAAGCCTTCTGGTTTGCTACAACCATTAGATATTCCGGAGTGGAAGTGGATGAGTATATCCATGGACTTTGTTGTTGGATTACCAAGAAGCCAGGCTGGATTTGATTCCATATGGGTTGTGGTTGATAGGTTGACTAAATCCGCCCATTTCATTCCAGTCAAGACGACCTTCTCCACAGAGCAGCTAGCCAAACTATATGTTAGAGAGATTGTGAAGCTTCATGGCATTCCCGAAAGCATAGTTAGCGATCGGGATCCGAAGTTTACTTCACGCTTTTGGGAAGCGTTACATGAGGCCTTTGGTACTCAATTGAGATTGAGTACTGCTTATCACCCGCAGACAGATGGTCAGACAGAGAGGACCATTCAGACACTGGAGGACATGCTGAGAGCGTGTGTGCTTGAGCAGGGTAATACTTGGGACAAGTACCTGCCACTGGTTGAGTTCTCCTACAACAACAGTTATCATGCCAGTCTGGGCATGGCTCCTTATGAGGCCTTGTATGGCCGTAGGTGTAGAGCACCTACTTGTTGGACGGAGATCGGAGAAAGACAGTTATTGGGGCCAGACTTGGTCCAAGAGACTACGAAGCAGATTGAGATGATCAGAGATAGGCTGAAGAAAGCCCAGAGCCGTCAGAAGAGTTACTATGATGCCAAGCACAGACCCCTTGAGTTTTCTGAAGGGGATCATGTATTCATCCGACTATCACCTACTACAGGTGTTGGGCGTGCCTTGGGAGTGAGGAAGTTGAGTCCACGGTTCATTGGGCCCTACCAGATAATAAAGAGGGTCGGACCGGTGGCGTATCAACTTGCTCTACCTCCCAACTTGGCGAATTTACATGACGTTTTCCATGTGAGTCAACTCCGCAGATATATATCTGATGATTCACACATTGTACAGTATGATGACATAGAGGTTAAGAAGGACCTGAAGTTCGTTGTTGGACCTTCTAAGGTTCTTGCTCGAGATGAGAAACAGCTTCGAAATAGAGTTATTCCCATGATCAAGATCCAATGGGAAGGATTGACACAAGAGGATGCCACATGGGAGCGGGAGGATGATATTCTCCGGCAATATCCCGATTTTGATATCAGGTATGATCTGATTTTGAGGACAAAATCTTTTAAAAGGTGTGGTGAATATAATAACCCTAATTATATGACTTTTAAATTAGAGGGTTATAATGAGGACCTTATAGTCATAAATGGAATGAGCATAAAATTATAAGAATTTTGATACCCATATTGAGGTATTATGCACAGATGAATTTTTATCTGTTAAATTTGACTGCTGACGTAATAACAGTTAGTAGAATAGCTCCAAGTTAGCAAATTATAGTTAGAGAGCTAATCTAATGATATAAACATCATGAATGAGGTTAGGATATGATTTGGTGAAGATTGATACCCATATTGGGGTATTTTTGAAAAGTCACTTCTGCCGGGTATTTTGTACTGCTGTAGCAGCATCCGGTAGAATCCCGGAACAGGAAAAAGATAAGAAAATAGAAATAAAGACCAATATATGCCTAACAAGTCATAATTAGACCAAAAATGTTAAAGTTAAGAAGATTATGAAATCCGGGTACAGTTAAGAACACCGGTAAAGACTACAGTGCAATTAAACAACTGTTAGTGGATCTGTGATCTACTAATCAAATTTTTAAGTTATGAACATGATAATTAGACAAAATTAATGTTAAGTACTTAAAGTTAGAGTCTTGAGAGTTTTCGGGTAAAAATTTGACGACGGATCAGTTAAAAATTACACCGGGTCTCACTAAAGGACGAATATCACTTAAGTGACATGGCACCCCTCATTAGGGCACCCTCCTCTCCTTCCCTTCCATTTCTGATCAGCAGCCCCTTCACCTCCTTCTCTCTCTAAGTTTCAAATTTTGAAAACTCTCTCACTTCTCTCTAAGATTTCTTCACCTAAATCTCTCTAAACCACCAAACTTCCTTCACAAAGATTGTTCCCCTCACTCTCCTCTTCACAACCATACCATTTTCATGGTGTGAATCAAAAATTTCGTGTCCCTTATCATCCCAAACAGCCATGGTTTTGTGGAGAGCAAAGGCTATGGAGTTGTGTTCTTGAGCTCTCTTGAAGAATCACACTTGCTTGCTTGTTTCCTTTGATTTTTGGGTAAGTGTTCTTAAATTTTTTTCATGAAAAATATCATCTTTTCTTCTTATGTTCTTGAGCCTAACTCATGAGCATGTTCATGAAGGTGTGTGCTTGCCTAAAGGTGTGTTCTTGGTGGAAAAAGGTGGAGACTTGAGCTAAAGGAGAAACCTTGAAGATGTAAGCTCCCACTTGGGAAATATGAACCAAAAAGCCTCCCTTTTTCTTGTTGAGTGCCTTGGTTTTGATATGTTCATGAGGAGAATGTTGTTTAAAATTTCGTAATGTCATGGTTTGATGATGATTCTTAAGTGTGTGTGTGTTTGGAACCATGGAATGATGGATTGGATGACTAAAGGTGCCACCTTTGGACCTTTGAGTGATGTTCATGTAAAAAGATGACTATGAACTCAAAAATGGACCATGAACATTTCAGCCATATCATGTAAGGATAGGGTTTGATGACAAAAAAATGTGATTAAGTTGTTAAGTGTGGAAAAATGATTAGAAAGATTAACTAGGTGGGTTAACTCTAAGTAAAACTCACTAATCATGATTAATAATGGCTAAAAATCCTAATTAATATAGCTAATCAAATCTGCCCCATAAAGTACATAAGGGTTTAGTTGTGTTAAAATTAAGGAGATGATGAATTAGGTGATTAATTAAGGGTAGAGCCGTAGAGATTAATTAACAAAAGTAATCAAGGATTTAACTCTAAAATTGGACTAAAGTAAGGTTTAGGTACACTAATTAAATAATTAGTAAAATTTAAGTATCATGACATAATGGGACTAAGGATATTTCATAATGTGACTTAATAATAGAAAAATCCAAGAATTAATGTGAATTAGGATTTATAATCAAAAGTAATTAAGGTTTGTTAAGTAAACACATTTAAGGCTAAGTAACCAGTTTTTAGGCAAAATTGGGGAGAGCATATCTTCCTCCACAGAGGTCATATAGGGATGTGCCTTATATCAAATTGAAGATTGAGATGTTATCTACGTGGTGTCAAAATTTGGTATCAATTGAAGATATATTCCATTCTGTATGTTCGTTTGAGTGAGGACTGCACAGGGAGGCATGTGCAGGGGCGCTGTACATGGCTGACACTTCCATGAATTTTTTCTCCCTCAATTATTACTCAAATTAGGCTCATAATATGTCTAATTAAAGATAAAGGTGTCTAAGGTGTCTAGTTGTCTACATAAAAATTTTAGAGCAATTGATTTAGTAGAATTTCCATAATCGCAGAAATGGTAAAGGATGTTTAGGGCCCTGTTCGGAGTTGGCAAACAGCTTTGTTTGTCCAACTTCAAATGGTGATAACCGGAGCTAGGAAACTTCAAATGAGGCATATGATACCTTTTTGGAAAGGTAATTGAGTCTAGATTAACATACTAAAAGATGAGAATTTTATAACAAGTGAGTCACGCCCAGTAACTAGAAAACAGAAGCATGTACAGTTATGGAAAAACCGTAAAAGTGATATTTAAGCTAAGTGGGCTTAGGGGAACCCTTAGTAACTTATAATAATCATAAATATGACTTGGATGAGTTGAAAATAATCTAAGTGAGCCTTGCATGTGATTCTAAGCTATGTAAGTAATTGAAGATTAAAGTGGCTTGTAATAATGCACTAAAATATGTAATAAGTAATAATTGGTCTAGGCTTGTAATGGGCATATTATTGGCATATGAGTATGAAAAGTGGAATCATTAAATGATTAAGTCGTGGATATGACTTGATTAATTAATATGTAATTAATGATGTGAATGGTTCCTACTCTAGGTGTGCCTAGAGAACCGTGCACTTGAGGATTTTGTTGGAGCATACGTATTATATTGGAGTGTGGGCTTGTGCTAAGCTCCCTAAGGTAAGCTCCTAGTTCTAGTTGACTCCTCTCTCTTGTGGCCCCACCATGATGGTGGACATTATTGTTATATTGTATGAAAGTATATGGTATGATGTATATGTGCATTCATTCACATTCATATAGATGTTATATGATCTTGATGTTATGATGATGCACTGATGATATATGTTATGAGGATCCTGGCCAGTGATCATGGTATGTAGGCTGCCTATGACTTGACTCTGGGAGCTATTTCATACTGAGGTTGTGTTGACTGTCTATGGCTTGACCCTGGAAGTCACACATGTGTAACCGTCTATGGCTTTGACCCTGGGGTTACACAAAGATGATATGATGATGCTATGTTTATGCTGTATGTCTGTATTATATGCTTTATATCTGACTTGTTATGCAGGAAGTGGGCTCAGGGGTTAGAGGATCCTCTATGAACCTTGAGCTTACTGAGATGTTGTTATCTTACCCCGTTTGGGGACATCATTTCAGGTACCCAGAGTAGTGGTGATGCTTCTAGGGGCAAGGCCCCCGCATTGGAGTAGTTGATGATGCAGCTGATGATTTTATATTATGTTTAGATTTGATGTTGGCATGTAGACTTGTTAACATGCTTAATTATTTTATGGAGATTATTGTATGTATTTATTTAGGCTCATGATAGTATTCTTAGAGCCATGGATTATTTACTGATACTTTTATACTTCGAATTAATATAGACTTGATGCATGTATTCAGTTAATTTGGGCATGGAGCCTTATTAGTTGTATTGACCCATTAAGGGGATTGCAGTCCGTGTGGGACTTGCAAGCTATCTGTTTAAATTGTTGTATTAATTAGGTTATCTGTATGTGTGGAATCATGTTTCTAGTTATCCGAAATACAGCCGTTATGCTGTCCGTGAGACTCCGTCAGGAATGACACTTGATGTCATATCTTGATGGTCAATGGCCACTAATACTGGCTCATGGGATTAATTAGTAGATGTATATTCAGATTTACGCTTTTGCAGTATCTGACGTGAACGTTTTTAGAAATGTTTTTATGAAATGTTTTGGAAAAAGTTTACTCGTATTTTTATAAGATGCTTTATTCCTTTTCAAATAAAGTCTTCCGCTGTGAATGTTAAATATCATGTATGTTAACAACCGGAGTACTACGTGGCGTTACAATAACCTTCACACTTGTGCTCAGAGCACATCCTATCTACTAAGCAGGTGACTCACACACACACACCATTGTTCATACCATCGGACTTTGGTCTAAGGTGTAAGACTTCTCATAAACTTTACCATAAGCTCCGTAGATACAAATACCAACTATTTTGCTAGAGATTAATGTTCATTCCCGAACACAACTCATTAATAATTTCAAGACCATAAATTATTTTTAATTAAATTAATATTAAACTGATTGTAATCATCAAAACATTTTAAATCAATTAAATAATTGAGGTATAACAAATATCCAACATAATTTATTGGAAATTAATAAGTAATTAGTTAATGTGTGTGACCCAATAATTTATAACTGTTAGATTATCGAAAATTAACTATTAAGATTTAATAATAAGAGGTAGTAAGAAAAAAAGATAATAAATATAATATCTCCCTTTAAAAACAATATTCAAAGAGGGCCTTTAATTTTTATTTCTAAAAACAGTTTTTTAATTTTTAGAAAAAAAAATCACACAACTAAAATTGGAAAACATACTAGAGATATTTTCTAAAATTATTTTTTGATTTTATTATTTTTCTGTTGATAGTTTGTAATTATAAATATTTATTAATGATATTTTTGTAATTTAAATTTATTAAAATCTTAATTATGATTATTTTTTAAGGTTTTGATGTTTGTCATTTTAAATGACATAAGTTATGTCATTTCAGGAAAGAGATAGACACAAAAATAAAAATCATGCGGAGAAAGTGGATGGTCTTTTTAATGTAAATTTTAAATAAAAAATATTATTTTGTCTCTATCTTTCTCTTAAAATAATATAATTTTATGTCATTTAAAATGATAAATATTTTCCCCTTCTTTTAAAAATATAAAATTGAAAACTAGAAAAAAAATTACAGGTGTTCTCCAATTTCAATTCTAGAAATTAAAAAAACCAGATAGTATTATTAGGAGGGAGAAGTTATAGTAATTGCCTTTTTTTTTACTACTTCTTACTATCAAATATTAACCGTTGATTTTCGTCAATCTAACAATTATAATGTATTGGAAATTAATAATTAATTAATAAGAAGGAAGATATACTTACAACCTATTTTCGTTTACAACATCTTACAATCATATCGTAGCTGTTGATTTTCGTCAATCAACGGTTAGTATTTTTACAAATCAAACTTATTAATTAATTATTAATTCTCAATAAATGACAATTTGAAATCAACGGTTAAAATACGATTGTAAGTAAACAAAAATAGGTTGTAAGTAAACCTTCCTCATTAATAAATATGACCCAATAAATTGACAAAATCAACTATTAAAATTTAATAGTAAGAGATACTAATTATAACCTCTCCTTATTAGAATTATTTTCCGAAAACACCCGTTCTCAAACCAGATTTTTTGCTTTTTTTTTTCTTTCAAAATTTAAAAACTGTTTTTCCAAATCAGCTATCAAACAGGCCCAACACCCCCCCCCCCCCCCCCCCCCCCTCCTTTTTTTTTTGTTACTAAAGTAGATTTCATGATAAAGATTTTATTTTTTTTTAAAAATAGATTAGACTTAACCAATATAAGGTTGAAAACAGGGTCTTCATTCTATTCTCCAAGAACGTATAAATCATCTCGCTAATTCTAATTAAAATAAAATCATCTCCCTCAGTCTGGTTCTGAAGTGCTTCTATGTGAAATTCAATCCTTGGGTTTCTCATTGGAAAGCAGAAACCCAACCGGGGTAAGGTTTTCCGGTTCCGACTTACGAACCGTCGCGAACCGGGTTACCGGTTCAGCAAACGATGTTGGTGGTGGTTCAATCAAACTCGTAACCATTAGAAGAAGAAGAAGAAGAAAGAGAATGGATTCGATAATCAACGCTGCGGTTGAAGAGATATGCGCGCACGTTGAAGAAGGACTCACTCTTAAAACCCTATGGTTGAAACTCGAAGCCTCACCTTCTCTTTCATCTTCAAACATCAATCTCTCTCACACCGTCAAAAGAATCATATGGAAAAACCTCCTCACCATTCCCACTCTCCGATTCGAACCCAAACCCTCTTCGTCGGAACTCGAAGACGCCGACGAGAATCTCGATTTCAAGATCTTCGCTCAACAGAGCCTCGCCGATAACTTCGTCGGTCTTTACGAGTCACAGTCTCTCCAAAGCGCACAGAAGCGCGTGCTTCGCCTTCTCGCTAATGCTAGATCCAACGGCATTACTCAGAGTCAGCTTGCTAAGCAATTGCACATGGATGGAAATAACTTCCATTACGTTTTGAGGAACCTTGAGTGTCAAGGCTTGATCGTTAAACACTCTGCTATTGAGAAGAAGAAACAAATCTCCACTCATGGTGAATCGAAGAATTATCCGTGTGTAGCTACGCATTTAGTGTACTTGCATCGCTATGCGAAACAGCAACTTTCTTCTCATCAGAGGTTTGAATTTGAAATCACTAAATGTAACACCTCTGAGGATGTTGATGAGGATGCTGATGGAGCCACGCTGCAAAGAGATGTCCTTCTTAAGGATTATGCGCCTCAAATCAAAGCTATTTGTGATAAACTTGCAAACGCCAATGGCAAGGTTTCATTTTCATTCAATTCTTATTATAGTTTGCAGCCAGGAATTGTTCATCTTATGTCTTGTAATATAATTACGTTATGTGAAAAACTTTATTCATTCATTAACAGTTCTTCAAGGGTCACAATTTTAATAGCAAAGTTGGTAAAACTAAGAAGTGTAAATGGTTTTTTTAATTGCTTAAAAGGCTATATATGAATGAATGACTGAGATTTTTAACATGATATGATCATGTTAAAACAAGACATGAGGGGATCCATTCTTTACCAATCAAACCAACTAAACTAATCATTTATGCTCATCTTGTTTTATTTTCTTCAAGGTTCTTCTTGTGTCTGATATTAAGAAGGATCTTGGTTATTGTGGATCGCGTCCAAGACAAAGGGCTTGGAGACAAGTATGTTCTCTCAGACTTCAAACTTTCCAAAATTGTAATTCTATCTTCGGTTGTGTAGCTCTAGATTACCTTATTGCTCTTTTTGATGTGTGACCAGATTTCTGGCAGGTTGAAAGCGGATCATATTGTAGAGCAGTTCGATGCTAAGGTGAATGGCAAGGTTAGTTAGTTTATACCAGTTTATAACAACTGTCTTCATTGCTTTTATGCTTCAAATTCTGTTTGATTGATGAATGTTGATTCTAGTCTTTCCGGAATGGAATTGTATCAATGATGTCTCTCTTGGCAAGCATTAAAAATATTCTTTTCCTAGTGGGAAACAAAATTGAATTAGCAGTCACATTATTCTATAAAAAATAAACAGATAAATAAGCAGTTACAAGGGTAAAATCAGTTTATTTTGGTTTGTCAGTGTCCTTTGCATCTCTGAATTTCTAAGCAATAGCCTCTTTTTTCTGTTCCAAGAATGAACCAGATCCACCTTGGAATTGCCCAAAAATATAAAATGTGTTTTTTTAATGGTTCTATAGTTTAACACGATCCTTCTAAATAGCATGGGAGTGATGATAAATTCTCTACTACACATATGATGAGATTAATATTGAGGGCCTGTTTGTTTGTTTGAAAATTAAGTTTTTCAAAATAAAATATGATTCTAAAAAAAAGTTGTCTTTAGGACCCGTTTGGATGGGCTTTTTTAGCCAAAAACTGCATTTTTAAAGGAAAAAAGCACTTCTACTACAAAGTCCGTTTGGATGTCCTTTAAAAAAAATGCAGAAGTCACAAAAAACCCAAAAACCTGATTTTTTTGGAAGCTAAAAATTTTAGTTTTTAAAAAAAGCAGAAGTCAAAAGCCAAATATTTTTTTTCAAAAACCAAATATTTAAAAAAAAATCTAAATAGCTAAAGCTTTTGTAAAAAACACTTCTAAAATAAGCAAGGCATAAAAAGTCCTTTTTTTACAAGCCCATCCAAATGGGCCTAATGCTTTCCTAGAAGCTAGAATATTGGCTTCTGGAAAAATCTCTAAAAACAAGTTATATCCAAAAAAACACTTTTTTTTAAAGCTTATGCAAACACACCCTGAATGTCTTAATAAGCAAACTTTTTTTCAGTTCTCTTGGTTCTGCTGTTTACTATATCTCATGTTTACAGAGTCAAGTGGTACTCTTTCTATCAATGGAATCCTTTCATACTTTGTACCATTAATGAAATCTTTTTCTTTTTGCCATCAGTTGGTATAACTTAGTTGTGGTTATAATATAGCTGTAATTTTTTACTTGTTTGCAGATTGAGGCTTGCCTGCGGCTTCTTGACCCAATAACTGCTGGATCTGAAAATAAAGATAAAAACTTGAATCCTGGGAAAATATGTAAAGTCATTGATCAGTTTGTGGAGCTTCCGATTGAGCATCAAATTTTGGATATGATTGATGCTGCAGGATCAGGTGGCATTACAATAAAGGAGGTACGCATTTGATTCTTATATTATCTTCTTTAGTAAGACATGAAAAATGCCAATGCCAGGAAAAGAAAAAGAATTAAAAAACTGAAAGAAAATTAGTCAATGATTTATATTGTTCGGGGCATTAATGAATTATGATACAGAGCATAGGTGGGTTATTTCTTTCTAAATGCACTTTATTGGAGTATGATAGTTGTTGTGGTGTATATAAGCTTAATTGTATCTTGTCAGCTGATGGTGCCAGGTGTCCCATCAGTTAAGTCAGTTTCGTTTGTTAGTGCAGTTACAGATTAGTGTAACTGAATCAGTTGTAGAAGTCTTGTAATCATTGCCTGTATATTCAGTCTGAGATTCAGATCTGAGTACAATCAATAATATTCTTCGGTGCTTCCTCTTTCTCTGTTTCTGATTCTTTTACACTTTGATAAGCTTGCTGATGAATTTTATGTTTAAACTTATGTCAATGTCCTTGTTGTTTAGAGAAGATTTGAAAGGAAATATTTTACATTATGTGTGTAATTTGTAGTTTTTAATGTGGCACTGACAGTACTAGGACTGGTAGTGAATTTCTATAAAGTGAGATATACTTGTAAAGAATTTCTATAAGGTGGCTGTATCTCAAATGCTAAAGCTAGACATAATAGGACTGGTTTTTATTAGACCTGTAATTATTTGGACGGCATGAATTTTTTTTTTTTCAGGAAAAAATGAACATTTGGTCCTTGCAAAATTGATACCTGTTTTATTTATTTATTTTTAATATTTTAGTCAGTATGTTCTTAATACTATCTATGCAATGTAGTCCTTGCTGTCAGTATAGGTGTAATGATTATTAGATGGCTTGGTCAGCTTCCAATACTGTGCTGAAAGCCTAAAAAAGCATGTGATGCCTTTATTGTATTGTGTCTTTATTTTAATACTTTGGTTGCTTCCAAACAGTTCTCCCTAGGCTTAGGAACACTCTAGAAACAAATCAAGAATAATTGCTTTTGCTTCCCGAACATGGGAACTAATAGGGTTCTGCTCATTTAAATCATCTAGGGGATTAAAATATTTTATGGGTTCTATTCAGTGTTCCGCTTAGTGTTGTTTCTATGGAGTTGCTATGTCTGAATCCGATATGCAGCGAGACTAGGGGAAGGGGGCTTGGCTGCATTGTTGACTAGTTTGATTTCTACTTCTTGTTGTTTTGTATTTTAGTCTGGACCATGGAGGATGTCTTACTAGTTGTATTCCCCCCCTTTCTTTCTAATAATTTTTTTTTCTCTGTAGAGAAAGGTGTATTTAGGCCTATCTTTTCTTTTCATTTGGGACTGTGCTATTTTTTGTCTCCAGTATGTGTTTGTGAACTTTAGCTGATCAACTGCAATGAGCTTCATTTTTTTCATCTTTGCTCTCTTCAAATGGAGTCTTTTTTTAGGGCTGGTTCTCAATGATGCATCCCTAAATGTGCATAGTGTTGCCTTTCCACTTTTAATTTTTTTGGATGTTTCTTGTAAACAGATCTGCCAAAGGCTTGGGATTGAACTGAAAAAGAGCCACATTCGACTTGTAAATTTGTGCTATAGACTTGGAATGAAAGTGCAGGAAGAACAATGCTTGAAGACCAAAACAGTTCGAGTTTGGACATCCAGAAATTTCAACCCTGGACCAGAAGTTGCACTTATTTGCAATATTGGTGAAAATAAAAGTCCAGATCAACATGTGCCTGATGGTTTTTCAAAAATTTCTGAATTTGAGGCTTCAACTTTCAGTGGAGAACTTGCTGACCCTTCAAAATTGGAAGATATTGAAACTGGTGCAGAACTATTTTCTGAATCTCCAAGAAATATAGAGTCTAACTATGTAGAAATGCCTACAAACTTGCAAGAGTTGCCACTTGATCCAAGGGGTATTGTTTCTAACAGCGAACATGATTTGGTCAGTTTATCAGTTGAGACAGACATTGCACCATCAGGAGCTTCTCCATCTGATGTATTGAAACCATTCTCTACTGGATCATCTCAAAGATATGCAAATTTATCTTTCTCTGTGGATAACACTAGAAGGGCAAATAGGATACTTGAAAGACTAAAGGTCTCTGTAATGTTTTGCCTTCCTAATCCTATTACTTGTGAAGCAAGTTTTTTTTTTTTTTTTTAAAAAAAAACCACTCCCTGTTAAACCTGACTAGCGAGTGTGGGGTGGAGGCAATCCTTGTACGCAGTCTTACCTTTGCATAATTGCAAAGAGACTATTTCCTGGGTTCGAACCCATGACCTTTTAGTCATGAAATTACCACTGCTCCAGTTTCGTGAAGCAAGTTTTTATTGCCTTAGAATTTTATTCTGCTTCTATGACAAGTGTTCCTAAGCAAGTTTTTACTTGTGCAGGATGAGAGGTTCATTTTGAGACCTGAGATAAATAGGTGGCTTATTAGCTTTGAGAAGGATAAATCTACAAAATTGGATCGCAAGACTTTAGACCGAATATTGTCTAAACTTCAGGAGCAAGGGCAATGCAAATGCATAACAGTACATTCCCCAGTTATTTCAGAATATTCCAGGACAAAAGATTGTGTGGTGGTTGTGCATCCATTGATAAGTCTATCTCCTGAATTATTTGATGAAATTCAAGATAGAGTGAGATCATTTAATAATTATATTCGCAGCAAAAGTACTTCTCATCAGAATAAAGATGAATTGATACCTGTAATCGAGGATATTCAGAAAACTCAAAGCGTTATAGTTCCAGATGGGCGGGCTGGTAAAGCAGAAGCCATGCGTGCTAATGGATTTGTATTAGCAAAAATGATTCGTGCAAAGCTGCTGCACAGTTTTCTTTGGGATTATCTGCATACGTCAGCAAGCCATAATGATGCATTATCATCCGAAAAAAGTGTCTATGAGCTAAATAATAATCCTCATAGTAGCAGCAAACTATTTTCTCTGGAAGCAGCTATTAAAGCAATTCCAGTTGAACTATTCTTACAAGTTGTTGGGTCCAGTAAAAAATATGAAGAAATGATTGAAAAGTGCAAGATGGGTTTACGTCTCTCTGATCTTCCACCTGAGGAGTACAAGTGCTTAATGGATACTCATGCAACTGGAAGGCTGTCATTAGTTATTGACATTTTACGGCGGTTAAAGGTATTGCTGTTGATTGTTCAGTTAAATTCGAGGTCTTGTTTTTTATTGGAACGATCTAACATTTATCTTCTGCAATTACTTTTGTTTTTGAAACTGGTTCCATCTTATTAAGGTCTGTGAGTGGTGTCATTGTGCTTAGTGGTCAAGTAATCAACTGCTTAACATCTTCAAGTCATCTTAACAAAAAATAAATATACCAATCCCTTGACATGCTGCAGTCATCATTGTTGGAGAAAGCTACTTCTTGATCTCTTTTAGAGAAACCTTATCAAGTAATTCTTGGTTCACAGGGAATCATGGTTTCTTGTCTTCAGTTCGCAAATGACTATTCTTTTTTGGAGGAATATTTCTTTCGGATTGGTTCTGACTTGAAGGTTAATTCCGAAAGAGTGCTTTGACTGATATAAATATGTTAGAATTATAGGTTTAGGATTAGGGAAGAAGAAAAGGAGAGAAAGATAACTATGCTAGTACAAGTATGGTTGACAGATGTAGTGTCACAATACCCTAACCTAATAGAAGTATTTATACTAATAATTTGATCAAGTACCAGTATTCCTAGTATAAGCCCAAGCCTAGTAACAATAAGATTAGTAACCCTAATTTTAACACTGCCCCTCGACTTAAAGCTTATCAAACCTGCAAAAGTTGTTTGAGTCCAGGTTGACTACTGATAAAGCTAAAGTTGTTACCTGATTTTGTTGATCTTGTTTGTTACTTCATAATGTATTGTATCTAGTATATGATTACACTTTTTTTATCCTCTCATTGTAAAAATAATTTTTTGAAAGGGAAAGAAAAGAAAGCTGCAAATATGAGGGATAAAAGTCCCCCAAAATAAGGAAACACAAAAACAGAAGGTTAATAGAAATAAGATTATTATTACATTAGAAAAACTTAATGATGCATGCTTGACGTTTATTTGTGTAGTTGATTCGGATGGTAACTGATTCGCAATCTAGAGATGGAGTTAAAACCCCTCATACTTTAACTCACATGATGGAGCTTAGGCCTTACATTGAGGAACCCCTTTCAAAGGATGCAGCATCTTTAAATTTTATATCCCTTGATCTTCGACCAAGAATCAGACATGATTTTATTCTGTCTAATAGAGATGCAGTTGATGAATATTGGCAAACGTTGGAGTATTGCTATGCCGCTGCTGATAAAAAAGCTGCTTCATATGCATTTCCTGGATCTGTGGTTCATGAGGTAATCTCCAAGTCTGTCCAGTGGACAATTTCAAAACTTCTCCGTTTTGATCTCTTATGTCAGATTCCAGCCTAATATTATATTTTGATGCCACATTTCCAGTCCAAACTCCAAAGATAGTATTACTATTATTATTATTATTTTTTATTTACATGGTTAGGTTTTCCGCTTCCGTTCATGGGCACATACTTGTCTCATGACAGCAGAACAACGTGCTGAGCTTTTAAAGCGTGTAACGATGGATAATGATAGAGAAAAAATTTCATACAAGGACTGTGAGAAGATTGCAAATGATCTGAATCTTACCTTGGAGCAGGTTAGTTTGTTTCAAGCTGTTGGAGTGATTTTGTTGTTTATCCCTTTTGCAAAATTCAATATCAGTATCTTAACAGCTCCCCCCCCCCCCCAAAAAAAAAAAAAAAAAAAGTCGATATTAATATATGAGTATATATCCTTCAAGGAGGGAGCATAGATTTCATGGTTTCCTGTGTTGTCTCAATTAAGTAGACACTGTTACAGAATACTGATTATCTAGCTTAAACAAAATGTTACATGTTTATCACTTTTATATGTTTCTTAAAAAAAATCTTCTTTTATATTATTTTGCATTTGTATGAGAAAGTGATTGTGGTAGTTGACAATAAACCTTCTTTGATCAATTATGGTGAGGAATTTAATGTCTTTAGTCTTGGATTAATCAGTTATGCATATGAACACTGTGAAGTGTGAACCATTTTGCTTCTTAAACCTGTTGTTTCTTATAGTGTCAGTAACACAAGGTTGGTAGATTATACTGTTAACTGTCAATGGGAATTGGGAAGTGAACTCGTTTGAATTTAGAACTTTAAATGAAGAAAAGTATAAATATTTTTTACTTGAGTAAAATGAAAAAAAAAGAAAATAAGTTTCCTCATTGAGTATTCTTGCCACTGTTTCAACATGAGTGACTGTTGATATTCTTTCCAATATGTATATTATTATTATTAATTATTATTTTTTATATTTCAATGCCACTTGCAGGTGCTTAGTGTGTATTCTAGTAAGCGACGCCATTGCCTTAATCTGTTCAAAGATGAAGAGAACGAGAATAATTCACTTGGACGCAAGGGTAAACACAGTAAAAAAAATTCTACTGAGTTGAGGGCAGCAAAGCGTGCAAAAATGGATGCAGCTACTGAGGTTGTGGGTGTGCGTGAAGAAGAATATAATTTGGGTGTCCATTCAGGAGATGATGCCACCCATATGCAAGAATTTGAGGAGGATGATTATGAAATTGAGGGTTCTCAGGACCATTGTCCCCTTATAAGCCAGTGCGTCTTATCCAAAATGAAGCCAACACGTCAAAGGAGATTCATATGGTCAGACGAAACTGATAGGTACGAGAAATTTTTGAAGCCTGTTAAATTTATAATTGTTCTATTGTAGATTATAGAGGGTATGGAGATAATAGGTCTTTGAAGATGGATCATGTATGTATTCAAGCCAACTTTGAAAAAGTAATATAGCTTACCGTTGCATGTACTTTTAGTTTGTTGGGAAATAATGAATATAATAACTGTGTAGTGTTATACTGTTATCATTGTTAGTGGCCCCTGGAATGCAAGTATAAATCAACAAGAATTTTTTTTAGGCTTTACTTTTTATACAATGGAACTGGGCTTAATATGTATCGCAAGTTGCTTGTCATATGTATTTTTCTAATAATTGTTTTTCACAAACTATCAGTGTGTGACTATATAATTGATATTAAGTAGTTCGTAATTACAACAAAAGGGATAAAAACTACTCAAACTAATGGAATAACTATTAATTAATCATGATTTCTGATTTTATAATATGATTTTATTAAAAAAAATTAAATTAATTTAAAACATTTGCTTGAACTGTAATGTATAAATAGCTTAAAAGTATTGATAATTAGTATTTATTGATAAAAAACATGATATTCAAGCCGCTTGTTTGATTTGAACGGATGTTCCACATTCTACTTTTAGGGTCTCAAATAATAACTCTTTTTAAACACTTGATTGAATGGATTTCTATTTTTGAATCATAAAAATAAAATCCTCTAAAACATTGCAAAATTAAATGAAAACTAACTTAGAAATTGCAATCACACACACACACACATAAAAATAAAATCCTCTAAAACATTGCGAAATTAAATGAAAACTAACTTAGAAATTGCAATCACACGCACACACGCACACACACATGCACGCACGCACGCACACACGCACACAGGATACTTTATAGTAGTACAGAAAGATAATAACTAGTTCACACACACACACAGGATCCTTTATAGTAGTACAGAAAGATAATAACTAGTTTTCCCGTCAGTATCCATTCTGTTGCTTTATAAATTTGCAGGCATATTTGCTATAATCTTGGATTATAAATTGGCTATCTCCCCCGCCTCTCTTCCCCTCTTTTTGTTACCCTTGAGTGAAGAGCACATTTTTCCTCTCCTGTAAGGCTACAAATAAGGTATTATCTACCTTGTTTGATTATCTATGATTGTATCTTATTTCAGGCAATTGGTGATCCAATATGTTAGACACCGTGCTGCTCTTGGTGCTAAATATCATCGCATAGATTGGGGCTCACTTTCTGATCTTCCAGCTCCTCCAAGCGTCTGTATGAGAAGAATGAATTCACTGAATGGTAACTTAAGAGTTAGGAAAGCTGTGAATAGACTCTGTAACATGCTCAGTGAACGATATGCAAAGCAGCTGGAGAAGTCCCAAAACTTGTCATTAAGCAAAAATGATCGCAGAGAGTTAGTGCGATCCCAGTCTAGTAAAGGTGTTCAGAATAATTTCAATCCTGATGTTGAAATTCAAACGACAAGTCTAAATGGAGAAGCTTGGGATGACTTTGACAACAAAAGCATCAAGACAGCCCTTGATGAGATTCTTCGCTGCAAGAGGATGGCTAAGCTGGATGCCTCCACCCAGAAAGTTCAATCGCAATTTAAAGGGTGGTCAGATACAAATCCGAATGCTGATGGATATGTAATTCTCCAAGACTTAAAACAATACTAATGTCAAATTATTGCTTCTAAGTTCCTTGATGAGACTTAACTTCTGTCTTGCTCTAATATTTTATTATTAATTTAAATTTTTTTCCTTCTCTCTCCTCTCATTGTGGTGTGTTATTCCTCTTGGACGAATCTTTTTGCATTTACTTTGTACAGTTTTCAGTTATTATGGAAGCTGTCTGACTAAAGGAATCATTTTTGTGGCAGGAAACTCGAGAAAACAAAGAAATTACATCAGCTATTCCTAGTGAGATTGTTCAAAGCCATCATGGGAAGCCCCATACATTTTCTGCCCAAAGATCTAGTCGTCGACGGCTTGATAAAAAATTTACTAGGTTTATGAATAATAGGGCTAATGTTTATGGACAGGTATACGAATCGTTGGCTGTTTCAAATGCTGTGGAGCTATTTAAGCTTGTTTTCTTAAGCACCTCCACAGGTCCACAGGCACCAAATTTACTAGCTGACATTCTTCGGCGTTATTCTGAGCATGATCTGTTTGCTGCATTCAACTACCTTAAAGAGAAAAAAATCATGGTAAATGGTTCTGAATCTCTTATAGTTTGTATTTATTGCATGAGATGAGATGTAGATTGGTTATGTGCAAGTAACCCTATACTGATTATTGCTCTAGTCAAGTTGATATTTGATATTGGTCATCATGTAAATTAATAATACACTTATATTTTTTTTATAACGCATAAACTAAGGATTATGTTTACATATCATGTTTGCTTGTTCATGTTTAGTGATTCTCTCTATACTCTCATAACATTTACTAACACACCACCTCAAGCTAGGATGCAGGTACCTATGTATTTGAAGTAATACTTATTCAAGCTAAGACATTTGTTTAGAAATCATTGGTGCACACACGACTGAATCCCACATAGAATAAAAGTAATCATGGCGTTACAGTCTTGTTATTAAATCTTAGGTATACTAAGACTCAATTTAACTAATATTTATTCAACTAATGAGTTGTTATTAACTGTAGTGGATATTTTCCTTTCAACTAAAAGACTTCATGGATGTGGCTTTAGGCTTCTGAAGAGGTTAAACTCAAAATTACGATAAGCGTCCCCCTAGGGAATTCCTTGAACCCTGAGCAGCCTAAAAGTTTCTTATATTTTTCCAGCATTGTTGCTATTTTTTTCAGGTTGACATGCATTCTGAGATTTTTGGTGACATGATTTCTTTTTCTTCTCCTTCCCTCTCCCCCTTCTCTTTCTTCTCCTTCCCCCTCCCCCTTCTCTTTCTGTTTTATATAGACGACCTGAACGTGCATGGGTGTGCGTGCATGTGCAAGTTCTAATTACATTGGCGTTTGTGTGTGTGTGTACAAGTTCTAATTACATTGGCATTTGACCTGTGTGTGTGAGTACAAGTTCTAATCACATTGGCGTTTGACAGGTTGGGGGCTGCGGCAATGAACGTTTTGAATTATCACAACAGTTCTTGCATAGTGTTTCGAAGTCACCATTTCCATTGAATACTGGAAAGCGAGCTGTTAAATTTTCTGCATGGCTGCAGGAAAGGGACAAAGACCTCACAGAAGTGGGTACTAATCTTGCTGAAGACCTACAGTGTGGGGACATTTTTCATTTGTTTGCTTTACTCTCGTCAGGTGAACTTTCAATTTCGCCATGCTTACCAGATAATGGTGTTGGAGAGGCTGAAGACTTGAGAAATGCAAAGCGTAAATCTGATACTAGTGAGTCATCCTTTAGTGATAAAGCTAAGAAATTGAAATCCTTGTTTGGAGGAGAAGGTGAAATTATTTCTCGCCGGGAAAAAGGTTTTCCTGGTATCGTCATTTCTGCGTGCCGTGCTACGATTTCAAGAGCTGATATTTTAGATTTGTTCAAGGATAATGATAACAACGGCCAGCCTTTTGAGGGGAATTTTCAATCAAATGTAGGCCAAAGCAGTGATTATTTGCTTCCTGATGATATGCCAGAAATCTTGAACTCTTCTGATCCTGTACCTGTGGAAGAAAGTCATATTGAATCACCTTGGGAAGCTATGGCAGGCTATGCACGACGTTTGATGTCAGTGCCTTCCAATCAAGAACAAATGCGTGCCATCTGTGCTGAGGTCTTCAGGGTTGTATATGCTGCCATCCAGAAGGCTGGTGACCAAGGATTAAGCATGGAAGAAGTTTCTCAAGTTATAAACTTGCCAGGTATAGATGCTCTGAGATTTAACCAAGTATCTGATTGACTTAAAATCAATTAAAAAAATTGCTTATAAAAACTTCTTTGGGATTGTCTATTGTTTTTTGGCTTTATGCCTTTTAGGAGCAGAGGTAGATGGACTGATTATTGATGCTCTTCAAACATTTGGACAAGCCTTAAAGGTTCCTCCCCCTTTCTTTGTTCCAATGGTTTATAGCATGTTTGAATTATAGTTTGCAAATTATGGTTTGGCCCAATGAAAAAGCCACTTTTTTCTGCTTCCACTCAAACCATCTATTGGGACCCAAATTCTTGTTCAGACACAACCCAACCATGGTTTTGCCAAACATGTTATTTGTGGATGAAACTCAATTACACGCCATAAATTAGGATTTGTGGTGTGCAAACTATAACCCAAGCATGCACTTTATAGTCTGGGAATATTTCTGAATTTTAAAAACTGCTGCTGTTATGCAGAAATGTGCTGCTATGTGCATTCATAGGTTAATTTGCATCTACCCTTGCCCCCAGTGAAATCTCTGATACTGATATCTTGTGTCTTTAGTGATTCCTTTTAATTGTTTTTTTTTTTCTCTTTTTTCCCCCCATTGTTTTCTTGAATTTCTGATATGAGTGCAAATATATACTCCTTTTGCCATTTTTGGAAGCTTGAACTGCTTGTTCCAATTTTGCTGAAGTTGTTTACAACAGCAGTAGTAATTTGAGCCTTTACCTTCCAAGAAATTGAAAGACTTTTTCTGGGTATTATAATATACTCAGGCTGGTTTTAGTAGTTCCTGCATATTCAGTTTTAAATTAATTTTTCCCCCTCTTTTTTTGTAATATTATTCTCTTTACTGAACAGGTCAATGCTTATGATTCTGTTCGTGTTGTTGATGCTTTATACCGTCACAAGTACTTTTTGACACCTATGTCTGGTTTTCATCAAGGTGTTGTACAACCTTCCTTAACAAAGACCTTTGAAAAAAATGAGGATACATGTAAGCATAACAAATCAGAAGAAAGTAATACAGCTTGTGCTGATATTATGAGGGAAAGAAACACTGGGGTTAATAACGTGCACAAAGTGACAATTCTTAATCTTCCACATGGGGATGTGGATCCTGAAAATCAAGCATGTGACAGGAACGAAGGCTGTATGCAAGGCAGACTTGTTTTGTCCAGAGCCGATCATGAGAAAGAAATGCTCAAATTTTCTTCTGCTGAATTATGTGTGCCAATATTGCCATGGATCAATGGGGATGGCACCATTAACAACATTGTCTACAACGGACTCAGACATCATGTTCTTGGAATAGTGATGCAAAACCCAGGGATATTGGAGGTATATGCAATCATTATACTGTTCCTTGATTTAATATTTTTAAATTTTCATAGAACTTTGAGATGGGATTTCTGGTGAATGTTGTGGCATACTAGTGTTTTGCACTGGTTCAAGTCAGATTTCCCCACTGCTTTATGGTAAGGGCTAAAAGAACCACAAAAGGACTAATGAAAAATGATTGGTTGTGTGCTATCCTTGTTTTATAACCTTATAGCGGTTTTATAATTTAGAAATGAATTGGGTTAACTTGTTCAGAAAATATATGGTATGTCATTACATTGACGTTGCCCTTTTTTAGTTCAAAATTGATTTCATTGCTTTCTAACTATAGTTAATAGATTTCCCTTTTTTGAAGGGAAGTATTTAGGAGCAAACATTTCAAGTTTTGATAATTTGGTGCATGCTAAATTGTATATTATATAGGAAAAAAAGGATACTACTTAATCTTCTAATTTTATTAATAATGAATTATATTTTCCCATCTATGAACCCAATCCACTTTATCCCTTTGTTTGCTCTTTTATCACATAACCACCCTGAAGTTCTCTCCATCCATTTTGTATCTCGAAGCTGCTTGTGAGTGGCACATGAGCTCAATTTTAATTAAAGATTCCCTCCTTGCAGTTTGACTTGAACTCACTTTCTTCCTAGAGTATAAAATATTGATACTTAGCCACCTTTTAGTTTGATCCGTGATCACATCCATATGGTACAAACTAGAAGAGAATGTGTTCAAAGTGAGCTGACTTGGAATTTATATGTAGTTATCTGTTGTAATAGGGAGTCTAGATAGGATTCTACCGAGAAATATTGAAGGTTTGAGCTGAGAAGAGCCAAAAATTGATAATGGGCAGTTTCTTCTGGTGTAACAAATACAAACCAGGAAAGAACAAAGTTGTTATTAATAATTCTGGATTGGATTAGACAAAAAGGGTTCTATGAGAAGGTTGAGGCTTAGCTTTTATAGAGCTAGCTAAGACCTTTCAAAACACATGGCATTCCCGCTTAAATCTCATTGACGTTCCAAATTGATATTATTAAACAACTACTTCTGAGGCACAACTTACTAGAAAGAAACTTAGAAGAAACAACTTCCAAAATGTAATCCTTGGCACTCACTACTAACAGAAACCCATTAGGAATCTTTGGCCTTACAGATTAGACACCAGGACTCTTAAATAACACAAAATTGACCTAAAATACTACTTATAACCAGAAGTTGCAAAATTTAATAAACATTAATATCAACATCACTTTTATCCCAAACTAATTGGAGTCGGTATTTGGTCAACCCATGTAAAAGTAAAAATAAATTAAGGAAAAAAATAATGAATAAGAAAGAATAGTATATATAACAAATAAATAAAAACAGAAAAATTTTACCCTACCACAATGCTAATAGCTTTCCTCCACTATATCCTAAGACACTGCACACCAATCTATTTTCCACTTCATTAAGTCTTGTTTACTACAATATTTTCCACTTAAATATTTTTTACTACTGCTCCTGCATCATTATCTGGTGCAAAATAGAAAGAGAAAACGACAAAGTAATTATGTAATAATGAAGCAAAGCAAACAAAAGGTTGGCAAAGTATCAAATTTTTTATCTTTAAGTAAAAAATATTAAATGAGAAGTTGTAATGCAGGTTGACAGCTGTACTTAAAAATAAGAGTGATTACATAATAAAACTTGGGGTGCAACCCTGTTATATATATTTTTTCAATACTTAAACAAGCGAGGGGAAAAATCTACTGACGATTTCTTTTTGCATCTGTGTTAGGTTGATATTCTAAATCAGATGCATGTGATGAATCCACAGGTATTACCGAATTTCTTAAATTTCTAGACTTTTATTCTAAAATTGTTAGTCACTAGTTTCATGTTATCTTTAATTCTTTGCTCAGAAATAGTGATAACAACCTATAATCTGTTCTAAGGATGATGACCTGATTCAGGGCAGTACGGATACATGTTTTGCCTGTATGTAATTTTGTTCCCGGGTAGTTCTATTCAGTGGATTTCCGTGACTTTTTAAAAATCTTTTCTAGATAAGTTTGCATCAATAACCCTTTTCCCATGTGATATTACTGAAACCTGTCACCACACTCCTCTAATTTCAAATTATGCTAAAAACCTCCCAAGGGTTTATAAAATCTATTTCAACACTCCTTGTGTGTCCATAGTAGTACAAGGGGAAAAGGAGCTGGGAAGGGAGGAACTTTCTATAGTATAAAACTAGAGGAGATTCGCGCCTAGGATTTACAAACCTCAGGTTAAGCTTCTCAACAAATAACTGAAATTAATTACAATGTCATTTATCAGATAAGAAGTATAATGGGAAAGGTCAATGTCATCATTGGAGGCTGTACTCTATTATCTGTTTCATGATGCTGATTATGAATCTCGACTTTGATATTATTTTGTTTTTGCCATTATTGCTGCCTGCGTTCTTCTTTTTGTGTTTGTACGCTCAAGTGTAAATGCTGATTTGGAGTTTCTGACAGAGCTGTAGAACTCTTTTGGAATTGATGGTTCTTGATAAACACCTAATTGTGAGGAAGATGCATCAAAGTAGAGTTGATGGGGGCTCCTCCTTGCTACAGGATCTTATCGGAAGCAAATCAAATCAATCAAAATTGGTTTACCGAGAGCATTACTTTGCCAATCCCATGAGTACTTCCTTGTTGTAGGGAAATCTGTGGCTGGGGACATGTAAAGTCAATAGATATTATGTATATATATGTACAAATACAAGTATGGGCAATTTGGGATACTGGTCTTGTGTTTATATTGGTAAAATTAAAACTTAGGTAATCATAGTCAATATATTTAAGATTAGCATTTTGGAGTTTGTAAGCGTGGTTGCTGTAATCCTATTTTAGTAAAACCAGGTTTGGTAAGAAACATATCGTGTCATACAAAATTTTTAGAAAATTATTGTTTATTGCTTCCAAAAGTTGGTAAGGAAAAGTAGCACATCATTGTCTCGCTTGGTGAAGACTACAAAGTGTTTACAGGATGCCACTATCTTATAGTGATGTGATAGCATCCTAGTAGTATACTTAGCCAACGGTAGTTGTGCAATCTTGAGAAATTTGGTTTTGGATTGTTAGCAAGTTAATAGGAATAGTTATGTAAATTATCAATAATTTTTACGTATTTATTTTTGATATGTTCCAAATAAATTGTGTTTTCTTTTCTTTATTCGGTCGTGTATCTATATTTGCTGCCTTTCTTTTTAATGTGTATATAACTGGTTTAATAATTTTTTATTCTGAGTGGTTTTCAATGAAGCATCGACAAGTGATTTAAAAAAACAATTTGACTGTATGGGAGAAATGTAAATTTTTTAAAATCTTTACAAAATTAAAATAATCCTAAAAAAAAAAAATTTACACACAAGTTTATCAATCTCATCGGAATCACAACTAACCTCAAAATCTCTTCAATCTGCAATTGCAAATCGAACTCCATGGCTTTATTGAGACCCTTACAACTAGGGACGTGGCATTTGCGGGATCGGCCACCGCAGCACACAATAAGAGAGGAGGCGAAGAGGAAGAGCCTTAAGAGGCAAGAACAGATTGAGAAATGGAATTGGAATTCGGATTGGGCGAGGAGGAGAGAGTTGAAAATGTACCAGAAATACGAGGAGAGAAGGAAAGCACCGGAGAAGATGACCAACACAAGGATCAAGAGTTCGAGGATTTGGGTTTTGGGTTTGAAACAGAACAAGAAGATGGAGATGCAGAAGGACGGGGCATGCTGGCACATCTTAGCCTAATTAACATGTGCGCTTTTATTTTACTTTTCTAGATTAAAACTTCCTAGGGTTTGCAACTTTTGCTTACTGCAAGAGAGAAAAAATGTGGGGTCCACTCCATGTTTATTTTTTACAAAAAAATTAAAAAAAACTTTTTAACAAATAATAGGATTAATGTTATTTTTTTAAAGAAAACTTTTTAACAAATAATAGGATTGATGTTATTTTAACAAATAATAAATATTTATTTAAAATTAAAATATAATATAAAATTAAATTAGTAAAGAAAGTACAAATTATATGTATATGGGCTTATCGTTTTTCAAGTCACTTGAGATAATTTTATCTCCGACCATTAAAGATGGATCAATGGTGATAAAGAAAGAGAGAGAAAAAAAAGAATAATAACCATTCAAAGGTAAATTAATTAATATAAGAAAATAAATAATAATTTTAGGGTGACCAGAGATAAAAATATATCTCAAATGAATTTAGAAATATTTTTCTCTATGTATATATACATATATGAAATTTTCATGTGATCTTTATGAACATTTTAATATGATTTTTATGAACATTATTTCATGTGATGTTAATGAAAATTTATTTTATGTAATCTTTGTGAATAAGAAAATTTATCTTTTATATTTTAATTTGGTTTGGACCTATAAACTTTAGTTTGCAACTTGGTAGGCCTCATAGGTCGTATTAAGTTTTTTATAATAGGTCAGACCGGACTTATAAATCAAATCTTTAATAGGCTAAGAGGTCAGTATAGGCTCTAAATATTTTACATAGGCTTAGGTTATCAAAGCCAAAGTCTGGCATAACCTGGCCCATTTACACCCTAGCCGTGACTTGTGAAGAACATCAACGTAGAAGGACATAGCAAACTTCACAATTAAAAAGGAACATTGAACAATCAACGACAAATGTCTAAAATCATTTAAATGACATTGGATCCACTTAAATCATTTAATAAGTGGTTAGATACTTTAAATTTTTTTAAAATACAAAAAAAAAAGTTGTTAATAGATATGTACAAGAAATTTTCATACTCTATATATATACATATGTCTTCATTGATTTTTCTCTTTAACAGTTTGCACTGATGAATCGCCAACACTCCATTTTTCAAAAGAAATAAAATCAATAAACACAACCACACAAAAAAAAAGTTGTAAATAAAAAAAAGGCATGAATTTCACTTATGTTTGAAACACCCAATAAACAATTATCGTCAGCAAAGACAAAGAATTTCTCTTTTACAAGGTTCAAAAATATAAATCAATTTTCTCCCAACGGACAATATAATTACCAATGCAAATTCCAAGAACATGTATCCATAAAATCTTGAGAAAGGAACAAAACATCATACATTGTCGCAGAATGACTGGGTTCCGGGTGATGAGTGCGAATAAGAAAAAAAAAAGATTAGAAGAAAACCCAAATTGGAAAAAGATGAAAGTAGAAGAAGAAGAAATTAAGAAGAAAATAATCTGTTATCTGATCACATGCAAAGCAGCTCCAAATTTACCGTTGTTACAATTTTTTCTAGGTCAATTTACAATCTTAGCTGGACTCAATTATAATTACTTATATAATTATATATAATAAATAAAATTTGTTGAAATGTAACTAGGCCCAAGCCCTACCTAATTATAACGTGGCTACTGAATGATATGGTTTATTTATTCACTCCCACTCTTACTGCTTTCAGTTGTTTGGCCAACAATTGTCTGATTTTAGGAAATCTCTTTAATCTAGACATAAGGATACAGGTGTATGACCTTGAACAAGGATAATCTAAGTTCAATTTTTATCTAATTATTATGTGGGTGAATTGAATAGCTAATAAGACAAACATTATATCTACAAGTCTTGCATGGCCATTGATTTAGGCTTCGTCTTAAATTGGTACTTGGATTAAATCACGTATAAATATAGTATAAGCAGATCTTATCTTCATTGCAAGGGTGCAGCTTCAACAAGCTCCTCTTGCATATACATTGGAGGATCCACACAAAGATAATTAATAGCAAACAAAGGGCATGCTATAGAAGAATCGAGTAAGCAAACACTCAAACACAAATTTGTTTTTCAGAGACCTCTAATTTTTGGAACCATCGAACGACACTGCCCCAGTCACTACTAATGATACTTGGATATCAACCATATTACCCACCACATATGGGTTACCCACCATCTCCTTTCCGTTACCCACCACATTTTGACATTGGCCCTTCTTATTGACATTAAAATTTTAAGTTATATAAGTTTTTGAGGATATTATTGTTGGTGCTTTTCGTTATATTACTTCTATTTTTTATGACCATATTATTAACCTTCGCTATATTTTTTCAATTGATATGATGTCATTTATCATGTTAGTATTATCTTTTATTTTTCTACTTATTAAGTTAGCTACAAGCTAGAATTAAATTATTGATAAAACTCATTTAGTGTATGGTAAATTTGTCTAGTGACCCAAACCATAAATAATATTATAACGTTGACTCATGTAATCTCATGGCAAAAAAAAAAAAAAAACGAAAAAAAGAAGAGAAGCATGGTTGGATAAAAAAAACAGTTACATGCAACATGAAACACCAAAGTTGCAGTAGTTTCCCTTTCAAAAGACAGCAACACACCATAGTCTCTGATATTATCTACAACACTTACACACTGTTGACACTGACCTAAAAAACGCTACCAGCTTTGGCAATTCTAGGTGGATAACACCTATCTAGTTCAAGCTATCCACACAGAAAATATTGTTTGATTCATAATCTCTCCCTCAGTACACACTAATACGTCATCTGTGTATATCTTCTTCATCCTAAGAAAAACAAGTCATAGAACTCAGAATTTTATCAAGGCATTTAGAGAATGCATAAGAACACAACTAGCATTAAAATTCACATTAATACAGGCTAACAATTTCGATGAAGTTAAAGATGTCACAGCCAATGTTTACGAGTTTCACAAACGTTTGGGAGGGATATATTGAACACGCTCGTCTTCACATATAGCCTGCAATTGGGCATAACAAATCAACAAAATAAACTTCACCATACAACATTAATTCAGTGCAAAATATATTCTAAAAGAGATAACTATCTATTAACAAAAACAAAATCACTCTTTACAACAAAAGTAATATATTCTAAAATCGATGTTACAAAAGGGCAAACCTCAGTGCACAAAGGCTCCCCAACTTTGTGAGAGTAAGGTAAAGGTTGATTGTACGCAACCTTATTTTTATATTTTTGCAAAGAGGCTGTTTCCTGAACCCAAATCCGTGACCTTCCGATCACAAAAGGAGCAACCTTACCACTGCTCTAAGATTTTCCTCCCTAAAATCTATATCACACTAAAAGAAAAATACATACCTGCATCTCTTCCGAAAGAGCATCTGAGACAGCAAGAGTGTAAACACCAGGAACAAATTTTCCTGCAATATATTCAAGGAGAACCTAAATTCTGCAGCTCAACTGCAGTACAGGATTTCAATCTAGATAGAAATTCAACCTACACAAATTTCTTTTTCTCTTTCCAAATAGTTGACAATTCTCTTGGCAAGTAATTTGGCTGATTCTTTGGAGTGAAATTGATCAAAAATGATAAAATAAGTGCATCAAGTAATCTCTATGGCTTTTCCTTTTTTTCTTTTTTTTTTCCATTTTCCGGAACAGAGGAAATTCTATTCTAGAAAGAAAAAAGAAATTTAAGAACATTGCGATATGATATCCTTCTGAACAGAAGGGAAAAAAGCATAGCAAAAGAGAAATCCACACAAGCAAATCACAACATATTCAAACAATAAAGCCCTCTGATCCCTTTTCTTTCAATTCCTTATTAGCAAGAGCCAAATTGCTTTTGCTTGTTATCTTGATCCAGTGCTTCTTATATAAATAAGCGACAAAGGTAGTGGCAAGCAAACAACAATGTGGAGGACACCATTCATTGATTTCCATCATTATATTTCTTTTTCGAGGGAGGATCTTTGGACTCCAGTATAAGATTATTAAGTCTTACTTCTCATCTCAGTCGTTGTTTCCATCCATCTTACAATCATAGTTTATTTAATATCTATTAATTAATTATTATTTTCAAATAAATTATAACCGTCAGATTGACAGAAAATCAATGGCTGAGATGGCAAATAAGACTTGTTAATCTTACACTAGAGTCAAAAGATCTCGCTCTTCCTTTTATTCAAATTTACTAACCATGTTCACTAGTTTTCCAATTATCTTTCCAGATCTTGTTGGACTGCTACAAGTAATAAAGACCATCTACATGATAGTTTAGAAATCTAAAAAGCCAGAAGATATACTCAAGGACAGTCAAAATGTCCTTTTGTTCTTATCTTTTAGATTGCTTTTTGTCAACGTCATAAAGAAATTTGAAATTAATATTAGTGTAACACCCCAATAAAATAAGAAAGAAGAATGAAAAGAAACCACGCAAAAATACATAGAAACATCACTTGTATCACATAAATATATCCAAGGGATTAATAAAATTAATTTGAATGCCATGAATTATTTCATAAATGTAACACATTAGATTTAAATTTTATCTTTTTAAAATTTAGACATCTAATTTTTCACAAATTGCAAATACTTAAGGATAAAATCATATTGATTACAGCCGTCAATTAGTTTTTTTTTTTTTTAATTTTATATAAAAATATTTTCAATACAACTTTTTTAGCTACAAAGTCTTGACTAGAAATTTTAAGACCGTAACTTTAGAATCTTAGACCGCAACTTTTCGGCAGTGTTGCTTAAATCCTTAGAATCTTAGACCGTATCTTCCTAAATGTAATTATCATAAATAGAAGTTTAATATAAAAACAGAACAGTAGAAAGGGGAAAAATGAAGAAAAAATATAAACTTGAAAAAAAAAGTCATAAATATATTGTATATTCCAAAATTATACAGTCATCCAAATATTGTGAAGGAGAAGAAAACTGAAAGCAAAAGGCAAAGGGAAAATTATACTGAGATTTTTTTTAGATATTATCGATCGGTTCATCGATTACTCGACTAGTCCGATCAGACTACATGAGCGGCAAAACCCTATCAAGTTTTAGCACAATTGCATTTACAAGGACTCGAACTCGAATCTATTGGTTAAACTGAAACAACCCCTTGAGTTGATTATAACGAGACTTTGGAAGGAGATAAATGAACATACCAATACGCAGCCAACGGGCAGCCCAACTCCGGGTTGAATCCATAACTGAAATAATCCTGCGACAAAATCGAAAGGAAGAAGAAAAACAAAAATGAGCATGGAGAAATTCAAAGGTGAAGAAGAGAGTTTTGATGAAAAAGAATTGACATAAACAAACCCATTAAAATTGGGGGTAGTGCAATCAACAACACGCTCCTGATCTTCTTCTATCTTAAAGAATGGGCAGTTCTCACAGCCTGACTCTCTGAACTGTGTAACAAAAAACAAGAGTTGTAAAATAAAATAAGAAAACCAGCAAAGAATGATGAGAAATATGGACAGGCAGTAACACCTGATCGTAGGTTTTGACAAGGCGACAACGAAGACAAGCCCTCAACTCATGGCCAAAGCTTGTAGGAATTTGTGCGGTCATACTTGCCATTTTCGTCAGCTCACACTGTTTGAACTGATGGTTAGATAGGTTCAACTGGTTGAACTAATGGTCAAACCCAATGACATTGTAATTATAATATATGTAATATATGAGTAAATTAAATAACATGAATTATAAAGGAAGTCATGTAACTAAAACTCAATAAGCTGTGGACTTACATGACTCAAAACATTAGGCTGAGTTCAGTCAGGAATGATCTTATATTGCTTTTTCCTTTTTCCAACTAATTAGCCATAGACTTCAATTTGACAAGTGTTATTTTAGAAGAACTTCTATATCACCAAAAAATTCCTATGTCCTAATTTTAACCCTTCCTTCAACACTATGTTGCTATGTATGATTCAGCAGTCGATTAAAATCTTCATGCCTAACACTTTACCAAAGCAGAGCACTTTTCTAATAGCAAGTGTTATCAATTCATATCTATTATGTCAATCTCTTGACTTAAAACAAATGATAACCTAAACACGCAAGAATCATGAATAAGTCTAATCATATATATGATTTCATGAATTTGTCTATTAAACCAAGATATTTCCAGAAAAGGACAATGTATAGGCCCTACCCAGAATCCTTGAGCACCAGAATTCATCCATAAAAGGATATTTTCTAGCCAAGAAATTTAGGTATTGCAGCCTTTATTTCAAAATGCAAGCTCATTCTTATAGTCTTGCCAGAACACACTCACAAAGAAATTTGTAGAACCATAAAGAATCAAACTAGGCATTGTAGCTAATAATAAACTCAATGCATTCCCTCAGCACGCATGCATTTCATCGAGCAGGTGAGGTGCAAAACTTTGAGTTGCTTGTATTACCAAAAAATCATGTGTAGTATACTTGAGAGACTCTTGGGTCTAATAAAAATGTGAAGAAAACCCAATTGTTACTTCACAAACAGAGGCTTGTTCCAACAGCAGGAAAACAAAAAACAAAAAACAAAAACCCTCCAATACCAAATTTCTTCCTTACAAGTATATCCAAGCGAGAAGCATAATGCATTTTCAACATTAATTAATAAAATGCAGATGATATTTAAAAAAATAAAAAAATCATGAGAATTTCTCAACTCTACTACGTGAAACTTCAGAGAACAAAAATAGAGAGTATATCACGACATAGTTAGGGTTTCAAGCTGAGATTTCCTACCTCAATCGTTGGCCCAGAGCTTGAAACGAACTTCATATTCCTCCTTGGCGGGTTCGTGCTCTGTCACTCTCTCTCTCTCTCTCTCTCTCGTGAAAAGAATGTTTTTGAATTTGAGTAAATTAAGATTGACATGCACTCTAATTTAATTACAATAAATGATTAAATGCATTTCGCATATTAGCAATAAATTCACTTTATTCAAAATTTTATTATATACAAAAAGGGGTTTGATTTTCTTATATTACATGACAATTGAGGTCTCATGTTGTGAGACAACTAATGATGAGTTCCATATTTATTAAAAAAATAAATAAAAAAATTGTACACAAATCAAAGGGTCACAATATAAGAAAATATTTTTTCATACAAAAAATCAAAATGCGAAAAAAAAATCATGTTTAAAAATTGGTTTTGAGCTTTCACGTGCTTATAGACTTATAGTTTATATTTTGGGATGTTACAACATTATATATTATATCGACACTTTAAAAAATCTGACGTGTTATATTTAATATTTTCAAACACTCCAATATTTTTCGACACTCTGACACATTTCAACATTTATAATATTTGAAATTTCATTATATATCGTAAAAAAATTGATTGCTATTTTACCAATCTAATACAATAAAAATTAAAAATAGATACCAAATAATTTTCACTGGAGTGTATAAGAGTTTTTTAATTTAAAAATATAATAGTAAATATTTACATCTTATTTTTTTAGCAAAATTAATGAGTATTATAAGTTTCGGTTTATTTTTTAGTTAAACTATTGAATCAACAACAACATCAACAACACCTTTATCTCAAATTAATTGGGGTCGGTGGTAGATGAACCCACATGAAAGATACAAAACGGTTGAAAAAAAGTAAAAAAAAATAAAAATAAAAATACACAAATAAAATAATAAAATAAATTAAAATGAAATGAAAATATATGTATATATAAATAAATAAAAGTAAAAAAGAAAGGGACAAGAAGAAGTGGGGGAAATGAAGGGGAAAAAGACTAAAAAATGACCATCTGGAACATAGGAATAACAGCGGGTCTAACCCTCCACCATACTTATAGCTTTTCTCCATTCCTTTCTAAGACATACTGTCCGCCAACCTATATCCCACTCCATTAAATCTTGTTTTACTACTTTTCCCCAAGTAAGCTTCGGCCTACCTCTGCCTCTTTTTGTGTTTAGCTCTTGGTAACAAACTTCTGTTCTAACAGGAGCATCCATGGGTCTTCTCATCACGTGCCCAAACCACCTCAATCTATGTTCTCTCATCTTCTCGGCTACCGGTACTACTCCGACCTTTCGTCGAATATCTTCATTTCTTATCTTATCCATCCTTGTGTACCCACACATCCACCTTAACATCCTCATCTCTGCTACTCCCATCTTATGCTCATGTTGCCTATGTGCTGGCCAGCATTCCGCTCCATATAGCATTGCCGGTCGTACTGCCGTTTTATAGAATTTTCCTTTTAACTTCAGGGGAATTTTGCGGTCACACAAAAATGCAGATGCACTACGCCATTTCATCCACCCTGCTCTGATTCTGTGATTTACATCCTCATCAATCTCTCCACCATTTTGTAAAATGGAGCCCAAGTATTTAAAAGCATTTTTTTTGGGTACCTCTTGACCATTTAGATGCACGGTTCTTGGTCCTCATCTTGTCCCAGAGAAAACTCACACTTCAGATACTCAGTCTTGCTTCGACTTAATGTGAATCCTCTGGATTCCAATGTGCTTCTCCACAATTCAAGTTTTCTATTAACACCCTCCTTGCTCTCATCAATAAGCACAATATCGTCTGCAAAAAGCATACACCATGGCACTTCCTCTTGAATATCTTTTGTTAGTTCATCCATAACTAAGGCAAATAGGTAAGGACTTAGAGCCGACCCTTGGTGTACACCTACCGTGATAGGAAAATAACTTGATGATCCGTTACAAGCTTTTACACATGTAGTAGCCCCATCATACATATCCTTGATTGCCTTTACATACTTGAATGGAACCTTTTTCTTCTCCAGGACCCACCATAAAACTTTCCTTGGAACCCTATCGTATGCTTTCTCAAGGTCTATGAACACCATATGCAAGTCCTTCTTCTTTTCTCGGTATCTTTCCATTAGTTGTCGCATCAAGAAAATGGCTTCCATGGTACATCTTCCTGGCATAAATCCAAATTGATTTACAGAAACCTTGGTATCTCTCCTCAAGCGATGTTCAATAACCCTCTCCCACAGCTTCATAGTATGACTCATTAGCTTAATGCCTTATAGTTTGAACATTAAATATTAAATATACACTCCTCATGCTTCATAAAATATTGAATATTAAATATAATATACACTACATAATTAAAATATTATTTAATATCAAAACATGTCCTAAATCTAACATTTTTTAAAATTAATGTATCGAAATATCGTGTCGTGTTTCGTTTCCCGTGTTGGTGTGTGTGCAACATAGACAGCATTAAAATCGAGGTTGTTTTAAATAGGAAATATTACAAGTTGAAAAGTAATATTGAAAATAAATCCTCTCATGTTAAAAAAAACATGACATGGTCATGTAAGAATATCACAATTATACAAAGATGAACTATAATGATTTTGTAGCTACTTACTTCGATATTTTTTTCTTTTTTCCTTTATAATCATTGATCCACCTATGATTATGATTTCCTACATGACTATATCATTTTTTTTTTCACAATATGAGAGGATCCACATCCAGTAATATTATACAAGAAAAGGAAACAAATTTAGTGTTCATCATTTTTGTGCAGTGATGATATAGCACGAAGAGGTTGTTTCCTTGTGCATGGTGGATGAATGCTTCGTATTTGTTCTTAGTCTTTGGTAGTGGTGGACGGTGCTAATCATTACTGTCATCTTCAATATTCTCAGTGTTATTTCCCACGTCATCCTATAGACGCATCATAGGTGTTGAGTATACAAGTTTTAATAAGTCTCATATTAGTTGGTAATGAGTTAAGTAAAATGCATATAAGTGAAGGGACTCATAAATCTAGTGCCTTAAGATTTTGGGTTGAGATGTGGTGTCAAATCCATTTGTTACGGTTGGTGTAGGCTTAGTCCATTGGTGGTAGTCCCCCGTCACGGGCTTCCCCTGAACCCGCCTGACAATGGTATCAGAGACGGGTTGGGCTCGAGCTAGCATTGGCTAGGAGGCGAGTTGAGTACTTTGCCCTACTTTGACCCTGGGGTACTATGTTGAGGGGGAACATATCAATGGTAGATTTCACATTTGAGGGAGAGATTGTCGAGATATTCAAGAGTGATGAGTCCCACATTGGTTGGTAATAGACTAAGTGAAGTTCATATAAGTGAGAGAACCCATAAACCTAATGCCTAAGGTTTTGGATTGTGATATGGTGTCAGACCCACTTGGTATGGTTGGTATCAGAGCCGGGTTGGGCTCGGGTTAGTCAGGTGTTTGGCTAGGAGACGGGTAGAGTATTTTGGGTTTTACTTGAGGGGAAGAAGGGATCCAAAAATATTTAGGCTATGTTGGGGAGTTATTATTAAGAGGAAAAGGAAAAAGAAGATTTTACTTATACATTTTTCTTGTTTGTGAGTTTAAAAAAATGGAGGAAGAGAATTGAGTATTTTTCTAAAACCCTCCAAAATACTTTTCACCTTTAAAATCAGAGTCCCCCAATTTGGGAGGTATATGAAAGGAATTCTTAACTCAAACAAGAGGAAGAAAATACCCCTCATTTTTTTTTTGTCCCCTTCCAAACTCTCAAACACACCCTTAATCTCAAAATTTCAAGTGTGGCATATCGTATCCACATATTATATATATTGGCAAATACAAGTAGTTGTTAATTTTTGAATATTGACTAATATTGTTCAAAAAAGCTAGATAGAGTTAGAAAATTAGATTTAACCTCACTTTTATGTAAATTGTCTAGAAGTAACTGTGTGAAGTTAGTAGCATGACTAGAGTGTTGGTAGTGCTCTTGGGACATCACCACCTATTATACACCCATATACTCACACGTTTGAGTACAAATATAGTAGAATCTCTTAAACCAGTTGAATGCATCCAGTGGTAACTTGAAATAAAATTTTAAGGGGGTAAAAGTAAATGCGTAGTAGGTAAATTAATTCACAAAATGACATACATGATACAACCAACCTCTAACAAATTCATGCTTAAACTAAAATATAAAGATTTAATAAAGCATTTAGAAATGACAATGCTTCAACTACAACAACCAAATACTTTAATTCTAACAAGACACATGCGTTACACTTACACATAAATTGAAGTTACTACTTAATTGACTAGTTAAAGAAAATGGTTCGGACTCAGAATATTGAGTTTACTCCTCCTGGACTGATAAACTCACGTTTCGGACTATAGTTTTTCAACGGTACGATATTCCTTAGTTTTTCAACCGTTTGATATTCCTTTAATCCAAGAATGTTATCCAAGGATTGTGTTTGTATCATCGATCGGTTCATCAATTATTCTACTAATTCGATTCGAGGCGAGTATGATACAAAACTCACCTTACCAAAATTTAATACAGCAACATTCCCATAAACTCAAATTCAAAATTATTTATTAAGCTAAAATAATTTCTTACCAATTGATTCATGTGCTAGGTGATTTTCCTTTAATGTTCTCAATTTATATTTTCGGATTCAATCCTCACAACTCCACAAGATTTGGATGTAAGTGAGGGATGATAACCTTGTCCATATGGATGGATTCCGCTTAATCACCTAGGGAGCGTTTGATTGAGGAGATATTTTTTTATCAGGTAAATGCAATTATTATGAATATGGTAGAAAAATGAGTTTGGTAAGAAAATTAAAAAAAAAATTGTTTGGTTGGCAAAAAATTTATCAAGAAAATTGAGTTAAATTTTGTGAATCTGTCAACTTTTTCTCACTTGCCTGGTTATATGCAAATACCACATTGAGATTGGACAACTTCAATAGTACGTTTTTTCTATTTTTGCATTTGATTCTGAATTGCTAGACAAATGACTTTGGTGGATAAGTTTTTATATCTCCTTTACCAAACAAAAACATCATCGATTGCCAAACTCAGATGCACGGGGATCTCAACAAAAAACTTGAACCAAACAATCTAAAGTTTCTTTAAGCAATGTAGTTCTTAAGTGGCAAGAGGCTTTAATAATTTGCACTAATATATATATATATAGGGTTCGTTTTTCTTGCAGTTACTGCAGATAAGTTATCTGCAGCAAGCCAATACGACGTCGTTTTAAGACGAAAATCATGGTGTTTTTGTAATTTTAATTTATTTTAAGGTTATAATAGTCTTTATATTTATAATTTTTTAAGATTTTAATACCAAAACGACATCGTTTTGGAAATAAATATAGATAATTCTCTGCATTAACTGCGAAAATATTTTTCCCATATATATATATATATATAAAGAGAGAGGGAGAGAGGTATTATAGATCTCCTACAACAGCACTTTTCTTGTAGCAGACACAATTTTTGATGTGGGACCCATTTGTAGTTTAAAAAAAAAAAAAAAAATATCTGCCGAGTCTCTCTCTACAAGAAGGAGGTGACTAGGTGAGTTCTCTAGCAAGATGAGAAACTCAATCCCATACATATATATAAAGCAGTGAAAACACAGCCCAACCACACCATTCGAAATGGAAATCGGATCCAGAAATTGGCGCCTTCTATGTCAAAGTGCAATCCCAAATGAACATACACAACATCATTCTATATTATATCCGAAATTTCTCTATAATAGTTTTGCTAATTCAATTTCTCCGCACGAAACGTTAATGGTACTAAGTGTAACAAAAGCACAAAATTTAATCCAAGGGATCTTGAGAGTTTTAAGTACGTAAGAAGCTGTACCAAAATAACAAAATTTAATCCCTGCCCTGCCCTCTGAACTTTCTTGATTTTAGTTTTTGGATGGGATAAGATGATGGGTTTGTAGAATTTGCACCATCAAGTCATTCTTTAACCTTTTCCAAAGCTGAACACTGAAATACGATATGCATCAAGAGGTATCAGATGAAACCTCGCCAGAATCTTCCGAATCTGAACCATCAACCATCTTCTCAAGTGCATCTAGATTGCCAGCTTCAGAGACCGTGTGTAATCTGAGTTTGTCAGCATCTTCACTGAGAAAAAGAAAACCAAAACACATTCTATCTGAGCATGTTTATCACAGATTTTAATCCAATTTTAGTATTCTGACAACAGAGACAGTTTTGTTCATAAAAAAGGAAATGCTCGAATGGACTTCTAGCATCAGTAGCATCTTGCATCTTTGATGAGATCTATATGTGAGAATGCTGATAGAGATATCAAGTTCTATAAAAAACTTCAAAGAAAATATATAATAATTAGAAGTAAAATGCTAAGCATTGATTCTTTTCACTTTTTATTTGAATTATTTTTACTAGTAGGCAACGGTGGACCCACTTTGTTGCAATTGTCTGCACTTGCAGACACAAAGTTGGGAATTTTTTTTTTTTCACATAGTAGGTGATTCAGGTCAAGTAAAAGAAGAAAAGAAAAGGAAATACGAAGATTGAAAGGAAAAAGGTAAAGATAGGCCCAACCCAACCAACCCCCTACAATTAAAAGCTTTAAGCTTAAACCCTAGCCCATTACTTTGTCTCTTTTTGTTTTTTAAACATAAACCTTACTAGCTCCAAACCTTAATAGACATCAACGATTCCTGAAATTCAATCTTCATCAAGTGGAGGAGAATCTCACGGGATTTTTTATGTTTTTTCGTGAAGCAAAAGTGGCCAACTTTGGATCAAATAGACATCGACAGAGGTGGGTTTTTGATCGATTAAACCCTACAATTATACTATATTTTACAAATGTCTTTTTGTGGTGTTTATTTTTTTTTAATTATCATTATCGATTATTTCTTTAAAACTTTGGTTAATTCACCAAAGCTTTACTTTTGAAGTGGAAGAAAAAATTGGATTACGATCATGATTTTTAAAAAGAAAATTCTGCGGCGCCACCCCTGAACCCCGACTTCTAAGTGTGCAGACATAAAAAAAAAAATTCTGAGTCCACTATTGCTAATAGGAACCAAAACAACCATAAGAACCAAGCATATATATAGAGCATACTCTGTAACTCCGAAGATTTCCTTGACAACTAAGGAGCTATCTCTGGAACAGAACTCAGGCAGCTGGAATCAGAAAAACAGAAGAAAAATTTAATGAAGTAATACATTAAACACATAACACACACAATTACAAGTATGATCATTAGCATTTTACCAAAGAAAAAAAATGATGAAGAAGAAGAAAGGAAGTATCAGAAAAATTCAGTGCAGCAAGCAATAAATTCCCCTATGTTGAAAGTTAAAATAAAACTATTCCTTACAAAATTAACTACGTACTTCCCTAAGAAAAACATTAATTTCTCCTGTAATATTGCTTTGCACCACTGTTATTTAATTTCAGTATTATTGGTCCCTAATAATTGTTGAACAAATAACCAAAATAAAGGCTACCGAATCCAATGGTACCAAAGGCACTTAACGGCACTTATTGTATTTTACATACAGAAAGAGTCGAACAGAATTTGTATCAAATTGACTGTTTGCGGCCACTTACCTCGGACAGATAGAAGATCTTCCCAAAAAGGGCCTGAACAGCTAGTTTTCTTTTAAAACCCTTTTCAGTATAACCTGACTTATCCATCACAATAGGGCCTAAAAATCATTAAAATGTAATTGAAGTCAGAGAATAGAGATAATAATGTCCCAACTTAAAACAGCTTCATTAGATTATATCTGGGCAGAAAAAAATTGATTTCATGCGCTGAATGATAATAAGAAATTAGGCGAAGGGGGACAGATCAGTTCTCCCTCATCACCAGTAGCCATCCTTTTTCTGACTTTCAAGTTGCTATTAGCTTCCAAACAGCTTTAAAAGTAACGAGAAACCAAATTCAGAAGAAAACAAGGGTCTGTATGACACCTCAAGTATGCTGCTGTCTGAGAAACAACATTCTCAATAAGGAATTGCAACTTCACAATAACAACTACTTCAAATTTGAAGTTTGGTTTATGCTTCCTAGAACATTTGTACATGAACATAGAAGCAAAAATGTTCAGATTCCGAATTCTAAGTTTCAACTGGTGTAAAACAAGATGTTAAAGCCACTAAAACATATTAACAAAAACATAATTACATTGAAGCAAGCTTATTGACAAGAGAGAACCGTTGCATGAAACCAAGTAGTGATATTTTGCTAGATGTGCACAAGACGTGTGTTATAAACCAGGTGCACAAACAAAGAATAGAGAAAAGAATAATAGACAGTTTGACATTAAAACATAAGATGGTCTACTCTACAGCTAGGGATGCCAATGAGCCAAAGTGGCCTAGCTCAGTTTGGCTCCAAAAGAAAGTGATCCTCTTTTCTCGAATCAAGCTTGACTCAGTCCAAGGCTAACGAACTACTTGAGGCTAGAATTATTTGCCAATTGGGCCTTTTAAGCACAACAGGCTCAAATCATGTACCAAAATAACCAACCTGTTTTCTTATAAAACATGATTCCTATATATATATATATATATATATATATATATATATATATATATGCCTACAAGACACTTTTCACCAATAGGCAGAGAATTTGGGCTTCGTTTGGATATGTAATGACAGGTGGAATGGAATGGGAGTGAGTAGGATGTAAGAGAATGAAATTACTGTAGAATATTCTAGAGTTTTCTACTTGTTTCTAGCTACTTGTTCCTTTGAGTAGTGTGATGCCTCTTCGGTTACTGTGTATTTTATTTATTACTTCAACTCCTTAACTACCTTGTAATCTGTATATAAAGATCCCTTTGGGTGTCAATCAATATATGAAAAATACATTTCAGTCTTATATTTCATCATGGTATCAAGAGCAGGTTATCCTGTGGTCATCTTGTAAACCTTCACGTTTCCTTCCGTTTTCCATTTTTCACTGTTTATTAAAATAACTCAGAAACCATATCTGGACCCCTCCAATCACGAAACCAAGGCCACCATTGGGCTCAGAAGCCATTTCCGAGTCGACCCACGTCAGCCCCGTCGCCGGAAAGTCATCCACGCGCCGCCACTGCAGAACTGCCTCTCCGGCGCGTGTGAGCCACGCGCCGCCCTGCCGGCCTCCGTTTGTCACGCGGCTTTCACAGAACGGCTCGCCTGGCCTTCCTCTTCCTGTTCTGGGGGTTTAAATCACGATTGGAGCACTCTTCTTGTTGGGTCCAGTTGGTTCCTCTTCGTGATTTTTCAGTTCTGAACGATTGGTGTTCCTTTTTTGTTTTTTTTGTTTTTTTATTTTGAACAATGGAAATTGAAAATATTGAGGCTGAGAATAAGCATTCTGAAAAATCATCCGGTAATGTTTCCGGTGTCTTTCCTCTTCCCTGTTCTTCGTCTTCCGGAGACAACCCAGCTATACAGATTACTAACCACCGTTTAAACGGTAAGAATTATGAGCAATTTCAGAAGGTGATGTCTCAATCTGCTAAGGCAACTAGTCATGTTGCTCAACAAGGTATGGCATTCCATGTTGATCATAGTAGTCGTTGGATTCTTGATTCGGGAGCTTCTGATCATATGACAGGTAATGCATCCCTGTTTTGTTCTTATACCCTTATTATCACCAGTCACGAATAAGGACGGCTGATGGTAGTTTCTCTAATATTGCGGGAAAGGGATCCATTAAGCTCTCTGAACATATTACTCTGAATTCTGTCCTTCATGTCCCTTCTCTTACTTGTAACCTTATCTCTATTAGTAAACTTTCCTCTGAATTGCATTGTGTTGCTAAATTCTCTGCCAAAACCTGTGTTTTTCAAGAACAGGATTCGGGGCTGATGATTGGCAGTGCTAGAGAGGAAGAAGGGCTTTACTATTTTGAAGAAGATTCTCATGAAAAGAGATTTTTTGCAAATCACTCTTTATGTTTATCAGACGATTGTAATGATGTTTTGTTGTGGCATCGTCGTTTAGGACACCCAAATTTCTTTTATCTTCAAAAGCTGCTTCCAAACTTATTTATCAACAAAAAACCAAGTTCCTTTTTTTGTGATGATTGTCAGTTTGCAAAACACTCTCGTGTTTCTTATTTCCCTAGAGATTATCATGTTTCGTCTCCATTTACATTGATTCATAGTGATATTTGGGGCCCAGCTCGTGAAAAAAATATATCTAGAACTCGTTGGTTTATTACCTTTATTGATGATAATTCTAGAGTATGCTGGGTATATCTTCTAAAAGATAAGTCTGAAGCTGCAGCCACTTTTAAAAATTTTCATGCTATGGTACAAACTCAATTCCAGACCTCTATCCAAATCCTGCGAACTGACAACGGTACTGAATATTTTAATTCTGTTCTTGGTGATTACCTAACCAAGCAAGGTATTATCCATCAAAGTTCTTGTCCTAACACCCCTCAACAAAATGGGGTGGCTGAAAGGAAAAATAGACATCTCATTGAAGTTGCTAGAGCCCTCTTGTCTACAATGCATGTCCCTAAATACCTGTGGGGGGAGGCTGTCTTGACTGCCTCATATCTCATCAATCGGATGCCCTCTCGCGTCCTGAATTTTCATTCTCCCATATCTTGCCTTACCCGCTCTTTTCCCTCCTTTCGGGCTCTCTCTTCCCTTCCTCCAAAGTTGTTTGGCTGCGTGGTTTTTGTTCATATTCCTCCACATCAAAGGTCCAAACTTGATCATAAGTCTGTTAAATGTGTCTTCATAGGATATCCTCCTAATCAAAAAGGTTACAAGTGCTACTCACCTTCTCTTCGAAAGGTCTTTGTTTCTATGGATGTTACTTTTTGTGAAACACAATCATTTTTTCCCTCGACTTCTCTTCAGGGGGAGTCTATTGGTATAAATGAAGACAAGTCTTGGAATCCAAATAATTCTACTGTCTTACCTTTACCCTTGGAAACATATGTTGTTTCTTTACCTTTGGAGTCAGGGGGAGTTAATGTACAGGAGACAAGGACAGCAATTGTACCAGAGACTGGAGATCCTCCCGGTAAATGGGGAAAATTCTACAGCAGGCGAAAATCTCCTCAAGATCCTCTAGACTGCCAGGATTCTGACCCGAGTCCTAGTTCCAGCAATCCACTTGAGAACACTGGTACAGCTGACCTAGATGTGCCCATTGCCCTTCGAAAAGGTACTAGATCTTGCACTGCTCATCCTATTTCTCATCACATTTCATATGAAAAGTTATCTCCAGGTTTTCGTGCTTTCAACACTATATTAGACGGTACAAAAATACCAAAAAATATCCAAGAGGCACTTAATGACCCTAAATGGAGGGATGCAGTCTTTGAAGAAATGGATGCTCTTAAAAAAAATGGAACTTGGGAGTCTGTGGCACTTCCCAGAGGAAAGAAAACTGTAGGTTGCAAATGGGTGTTCACAATAAAATTTAATGCAGATAACAGCATCAACAAATATAAGGCCAGATTGGTTGCCAAAGGATTTACTCAGACTTATGGGATAGACTATTAGGAGACGTTCGCTCCCGTTGCCAAACTTAACTCTATCCGAGTCTTACTATCACTTGCTGCCAACCTTGATTGGCCCTTGCATCAATTGGACGTAAAGAACGCTTTCTTAAATGGGGACTTACATGAGGAAGTTTACATGGATCCACCACCTGGTTTTGAACAGGGAGATGGTTCTGTATGCATGTTGAAGAAATCTCTTTATGGACTTAAACAATCCCCTAGAGAGTGGTTTGAAAAGTTTACTCGTGTTGTTAAAGAAAGAGGATTTATCCAAGCTCAGACTGATCACACTTTATTTTTTAAACACTCCGATAGTGGCAAAATTGTTATCCTCATTGTTTATGTTGACGACATAATTGTCACAGGTGATGACTGCGAAGAAATAAAATCTTTAAAAGGGGGTTTAGCTAGTCAGTTTGAACTAAAGGATCTTGGATCTCTCAAATATTTCCTTGGAATGGAAGTTGCTCGTAGCAAGGCGGGAATTTCCTTATCTCAGAAGAAATATATTCTAGACCTGCTACAAGAAACAGGTATGCTTGGGTGCAAGCCTGCAGAAACTCCAGTTGAACCCAATATTAAATTGGGAATTGAAGATGGAAAAGATGTTGACAGGGAGCAATACCAAAGGTTGGTAGGGAAGCTGATCTACTTATCTCACACTCGGCCTGATATTGCATTTGCGGTTAGCATGGTTAGCCAATTCATGCATTCTCCTAAGGAAAAACACCTTAGTGTTGTTTATAGAATCCTCAAGTACCTCAAAAACACCCCTGGTCGAGGAATGCTCTTTAAAAGGGGACACAAGAGGATGATAGAAATCTATACAGATGCTGATTGGGCTGGCTCTGCTATGGACCGAAGATCCACTTCAGGATATTGTACCTATGTCTGGGGAAATCTTGTGACCTGGAGAAGTAAGAAACAAACTGTTGTTGCCAGAAGCAGTGCAGAAGCAGAATTTCGGGCGCTAGCCCATGGCATTTGTGAAGGAATCTGGTTAAGAAGGCTCCTTGGAGAATTAAAGATATCTTATTCTCTACCTGTGAGACTCTATTGTGATAATAAGGCTGCAGTCAGTATTGCTCAAAATCCTGTACATCATGACAGAACCAAACATGTGGAGGTTGATCGTCATTTTATCAAAGAAAAATTGGAGGAGGGTAGTGTATGTTTGTCATATATACCTACCAAGGAGCAAACAGCCGACATTCTCACCAAAGGATTACACAAACCCATCTTTGAGGATTTAATTAGCAAGTTGGGGATGATCAATATATATCTCCCAACTTGAGGGAGAGTGTAGAATATTCTAGAGTTTTCTACTTGTTTCTAGCTACTTGTTCCTTTGAGTAGTGTGATGCCTCTTCGGTTACTGTGTATTTTAATTATTACTTCAACTCCTTAACTACCTTGTAATCTGTATATAAAGATCCCTTTGGGTGTCAATCAATATATGAAAAATACATTTCAGTCTTATATTTCATCAATTACCATACCATTGTTTGAATATTTTATGATGGAATGGAAAGGTTCCATTCTATCATTTGGAAAGTGATCGGAATGGTAAGGAGATTAATAAACAATAAATTGGTTCCATACCTTACCCACACAAACTGATTTTGGTTGTGGTTGTTGTTTTGGGGGGGGGGGGGGGGGGAGTTACCTTTTTCAAACAATCCAAATAATGGAAACCAATGTCATTCCATTCCATCCCTTTCCATCAATCCAAACATAGCCTTAGAGTTTGACACTTAAAAAAGTAAAAGATTAGTTTATCTTGTTAGTGATAGCGCATCAACAAATTACAGTTTGGGATGAGTTGGAATGGAGACTGCAATTATCAGCATCACCTTTATCCCAAACTAGTTAGGGATGGCAAGATACTGCATTTGTCAAAACAAAAACAAAAAATGTAACACAAGAAAATGCATTTAAAATATGTTTATAAACATTGCCCCATACTAATTCCTCATATTGTTAGATTGTCATAGTCAGGACAGTATGAAAGAGCAATCACGACAGGAGCCACATGGCCAGAGTATAGTTGATTGTCCTTGAGATTGAGACTGTTTTGACAAATCTTTATAAGGTGAGGGATTAATCTTTTAAAAGACAGTTTGACAAAAGAAAGAAACCATGAAATACATCAATGTCTAACCATATATTCTTTTCTGTAATAACATTTAGGTAGAATAGCAAGTATCGAGGAAGATAGAAAACACATTAGATAGTAATTTTGGAAGGAAAAGGTAACATGGCATTGGTAGGTTGATTAAAGTCCCTTCTGAATAAGAGGATAGCTCATTTAGCTCCTATTTATTGCATATTATACATTTTCTCACTCCATAATCACTCAGTTATTTCCCATTAAAAGCTATTACACCTACACAATATAAGAATTCTCTTCAACAACAAATTTATACTTAAATTCAATGATAAAAAAGTCAAAAGAAAATTTCAAATAACATCAAATAAAAATTGCCTCAGTTATTTTATGGCCAAGTCACCTACACATTAGACTGTAACATCAATTATGGCAGGAAGCATGGAAGGAAATTAAGAAAATTAAGAATAGTATTCTGTGCTGCACTTCGTGCATTTAAAAACCATTTCAATTAAGTCATTTGGTTAGTGGTGAGTGGATTGGGTAGTTTGTAGGAGGTCATAGTTTCAAACTTATGTCTGACCACTGTATCAAAAAACAAATCCATTTGAATTTGACATCATGGATCTAGATACAAACCCTTTCTAAATATACAAACAAGCTAGAGAAAATTAATTTGTTTCACAGCTCATCATCAGATTACTTTTCCAGACAGCATTGGCTAAAAGATACTACGTTGCATCAGGACTACTCAAATAAATATCCCATCCAATGTTAAGAATTCATTACCTTTGTCTCGCATAATTCGTCGTGAAATTTCATTCAGAACCTCGGCAACTTGTGAGTCATCTAACATAGAAGCTTTCCTAATCTGAATTAAATCAGCTACCATGTCAGGGTTGAATGGTTTCTCATTCAGAGCATAACGGATATACTTCCGCAAAATTCCTTCCAAATCAAAACCTGTCTGGATATGAATTTTCAGTTGTTACTTAAAATCAGATGGCACGTATGTACAAGCACACAAAAGTATGGGAAGGCAGCAAACAGAAATTGGTTTTCCACGAGATTTTCCCCAGCCAACAAACAGGAAAGCTAAGAAATATTTTCTTGATCTAGACAGATGATAAGATCCTTTACTTGGAAAAACTGCAAACCTAACTGTTTAATTATTCACTTAATTGCACGAAGAAACAGTTGAATCTTAAAACTTATCATGCTTAGGAAATGAAACATCAAGACATTAACAAAAAATAATAATAATTCCCCTAAGGTTATACAGGCAAAAAAATTATGTTAAATCTATGTACAATAAAGAATATTATCAGGATACTGGTAAATTTTTACATTACCTTAGTAATTATGGTCTTTCAGATGGATTGTTGTTCTTATTAATTTTGTAAAACTACAACATAATATCAACTGTAATGAAACCCGGACTCAAGGAAGATGATAAAACATGACACTGGGATAGAAACAAACCAAAACCTAGAATTAAATAGGAGCAAAGACTTTCATTACAGAGTTATCTCAACCTTAGACATTAATATGTGAGAGAAAATACAATGTTTATATTGCATTCATAAGCAATTGACTATGTCGAGTTAATCACATCTGATCTGCATTTGCAATTAGTAGCAGTTAGTCCTTGGTTTAACAAAATGAGATTCACAATATTAAGCAGTGCCATAATTATCGTGATAGTGTAGTATTTCAGAGTATCATGGTTTTTTTGTCTTTCTAACAATGGTGTTCTGTGTCTTTCTCAACCTTATACCTTCACCATCTCCTTCTTTCGATGTTCCCGCCCCTGTTCCCCCCCTCCAGGTCTATCATCGTCGGCAACGTCCCCCTGTTCCCCAGGACCCTGCCCCCACCGAGTCTGCCCCTATTGTTACTGAGGCTCCTGTGGACTCACTTCCGTCATCATCTCCTCTGGCAGCTTCGATCCTTCCGTCTGACATTGATGTGCCCATTGCACTCCGGAAAGGTACTCGTGATTCTCGTCCCCCTCCCAGGTATTTAGTAAATTTGAGTTATCATCGTCTTTCACCATCCCATTTTGCTTGCCTCTCTTCTCTTTCTTCTGTATCTGTTCCTAAGACTATAGGTGAGGCGTTATCACATTCTGGTTGGCGACAGGCCATGATTGATGAGATGAGTGCACTTCATAGTAGTGGTACCTGGGATCTGGTTCCCCTTTCCTCTGGGAAATCTGTTGTTGGCTGTCGATGGATATACACGGTTAAAGTTGGTCCGGATGGTCAGGTGGACCGTCTTAAGGCCCGCTTGGTGGCTAAAGGTTATACTCAGATATTTGGCCTTGACTATGGTGACACATTTTCTCCCGTGGCAAAAATGACTTCTGTTCGCCTCTTTATTACTATGGCAGCCATTCATCACTGGCCTATGTATCAGCTGGACATAAAGAATGCTTTCCTCCATGGTGATCTGCGGGAAGAGGTTTATATGGAGCAACCTCCTGGGTTTGTTGCTCAGGGGGAGTCTAACCTAGTTTGTCGTCTTCGAAGATCCTTGTATGGTCTAAAGCAGTCTCCCCGGGCTTGGTTTGGAAGGTTTAACACTGTTGTGCAGCAGTTTGGCATGACTCGAAGTGAGGCTGATCACTCAGTCTTTTACAGACACTCTGATTCAGGTTCTATTTATTTGGTAGTATATGTTGATGATATCGTCATTACAGGTAATGATACTCATGGCATAACTCAGATAAAACAACATTTGTGCCATCATTTTCAAACAAAGGACCTTGGAAGACTCCGATATTTCTTAGGGATAGAAGTGGCCCAATCCAAAGATGGCATTGTACTATCACAGAGAAAATATGCTATGGATATTCTTGAGGAAACAACATTGTTAAATGCTAAGCCCGTTGATACTCCTATGGATCCAAATGTCAAGCTTTTACCAAATCAGGGGGAGCTATTTTCTGATCCAGAAAGGTATAGAAGATTGGTTGGGAAACTGAACTATCTCACAGTTACTCGACCAGACATTTCCTTTGCAGTCAGTGTAGTAAGTCAGTTCTTGAATTCTCCCTGTGAAGATCATTGGAATGCAGTAATCTGTATCCTCAAGTACATCAAGACTGCTCCTGGCAAAGGTCTTCTCTATGAAAACAAAGGTCATACCAGAGTTGTAGGATACCCAGATGCTGATTGGGCAGGTTCTCCTATTGATAGAAGATCCACTTCTGGGTATTGTGTATTCGTTGGAGATAACTTGATTTCCTGGAGAAGTAAGAAGCAAAGTGTAGTTGCTAGATCAAGTGCTGAAGCAGAATATCGCTCCATGGCCACAGCTACCTGTGAACTCATCTGGTTAAAACAGCTACTGAAGGAACTCAAGTTTGGAGACACTGGCCCAACATCTCTCATTTGTGATAATCAAGCTGCTTTGCATATTGCTTCAAATCCAGTGTTTCATGAAAGGACTAAGCACATTGAGATAGATTGTCATTTCCTTAGGGAAAAGGTTCTCTCAGGAGATATAGTCACTCGTTTTGTCAACTCAAATGATCAATTAGCTGATGTATTTACTAAGTCTTTGAGAGGACCTAGGATAGACCAGATATGTAACAAGCTTGGTGCATACGATCTATATGCTCCAGCTTGAGGGGGAGTGTTAAGAGTGATAATGTTAATAGTGTAGAAGTCCCACATTGAGTGTGTCTCTTTGTATTCTTCAATTGGTTTGCTATATAATAGCACCAATGTTGTGTAGTTTAATATAACAAGGATTACAATGAATACCTCTTGTCTCTTGGTGATTAACAATTTTTACTGATGTTTGTTATAATTAGCTGGTTCCTGATTGATTCTCACAAGAGATAAAGATTTTATTGTGTTGGCTACTTGGCTAAGATTACTACTGCTACCAGTTTCTTAGCATAATTTCTTCCAGGGAAGCTGCCAACATACTTCAGCAACAATGATGATTCTCTACAGTTATTGAAGGCAAATTTGAAAATTGATTCTCAAATTCCAAGATAGAAAATGTAGCCACATGCTATTCAACAAAAAAGAGTGACCATAGACAATGTTTAATGGAAATGTGCACAGCATTATGCACCTCACCTTATTCTCAATTTCCTTGAGAGCATCAAGCGTGACTTCATTTCTTCCTTTTTGAAACAAATCATCCAGGGACTTGCATAGAGTAGCATTTTTACCAACCTGGAAACAAATTATATAATTGTCTCAAGCTAACTCAACAAATTTTAATTCTGGTAAGGAATATAAATGAGCTAAGCTAGGCTAGACTTTGATTTAAATAAATAAGATCTACGTAAAATATATTGAGCCTAAGCCTGAGCCAGAAGCTGGTATAGGTTAGATTATAAGCTTGGTCTATCCTATATTTAAATATTAAAAGGCTTAGCCCGGGTTTATTAACCTCTTTCAGCATATCAGTATTAAGAAAAAATAACTAAAATAATATTATTTGCAAAAGTAGACCTAAGACATGAACCTATTTTAAATATATTAAGTCAGATGTCTCACCACCTATACATGGAACAAATTTTTAGTACATCCATCGTACTGGGTACTCAACGTTATGAAAAGTTTAATATTATAAGTAGAGGTGGCAAAATGGGCAGCCCGCCCCACCCTGTCATCAATCCGCTAAAAAATGAGTCAGCCCGTCCAACCCCTATTTTGAAAATGGGATGAAAAACTCGGCCCGCCCCGCCCCATTTGATGGGTTGGGCAGGTTGGCCCACCAGCCTGAGCCTATTTTAGCCCGCCAAAAAATGAGTCCGCCCTGCTTTTGAGATGGGTTGAAAAACTCAGCCCATCTCACCCCGTTTGGCGGGTGGGGCGAGTTGGCCCACCGAGCCGAGCCCATTTTGCCGGCTCTAATTATAACTATACACTCTCCCGACTATATAGTTATAATATCACCTTGGCACTGAGCAATCAATGCAATAGTAGTATTTTAGATTTTTTCCTATACATGATAATATGACAGAACATGGGTAGGTAGGTAACTTCTACCCTCTCATCTGAGATGATCTCATAGTTATCATTTATTCATTCTTTATTCTAATGCACTATCCATAATCATTGATTTGTCTATATCATCTCTAATAACCCCATGATAGATCAATTTTCGAGCGAATACGAAAAATGTTCCTAAGACATAGTTTAGTGACCAAGAAAATGAAAAAATTAAATAAAATAAAAAAGGTGGAGAGACAAACCAGTCTGCGGCGTTTAGCTTTGGGAGAAGTGAATTTGGTAACGGTCCTAACAAATGCAATAACGAAAGTGATTCCAGCGTAAGCGAGAGGAATGGCGAGAATCCAAGGCAAGGAGGTGGGACCCACTCTAGGTCCGGGAATAGCTTGGGTGACGGAGCCAGTGTACTCGACCAAGTCCAAAGCCTTTTCCTGAATCCATGGAAGCTCCTCTTCCACTTCAACCTCAACCTCAATTTCTTCCTTCTCTTTTGAAGAAGAAGAAGAAGAAGCTGGTTGTTCGTTATTTTTGGATGCTGATACTGATAAGCAGGTTGAGATTGAAGGAGAAAACAGTGGCTGTGTAATTCGAGTAGGAACCGCAGGGAATGGCACAGTAGAGAAATTTGTTGAGTGAAAAGGGTTTATTAGAGAAACCTTTCTGAGAGGGAGAAACTGGGAAGCAAGAGAACAAGAAGTAAAAGCCATTAGAAATGGGAATTGAAAAGAACAATGAATGAATGCCCTTTTGCCTCTATGAGCTCAATCCTCTCTTTCACTTTGGATTTTTAGGTTGCATTTGCTGCTCCTCGCCGGTTGGGTTTATTTCCTTAGGAGAATAAATTTTATTTATTTTGTTTTGTTTGGTTCCTTTCAATTTAGTTATAATTATTATATAAAAATATATTTTTATTTTTACTATGTCTTTCTGTCATATTTATATAGAAGTGAATGGACATCACATCTCACTAATTTTTTCTCTCTTCTTATTATGATGAAATCTATTCATTGTATATAAGTGTGGCGGAAAAAAAAATTTATAAAAAAAAACAAAAATAATAAATCCTTTTTCTAGTATGATCACTCTTTTATGGTGAATGGTAGCTAAGTTAGGTTTGATTCTTTTATTTAATCTCACAATTAAAAATTTTTATTGGTTTGTGAAATTTCTTTCATATTTGCATTATTCAATGTGTTTATTTATTTTACTTGATGAGAAGGGAGAGGTGATTTTTAATCTTCAACTTTTTAAAATAAAATTCTAAAACATTTTATAAAATAGACTACAAGTATTCTATTTAATTTCCATGTAAATAGACTACAGATTATTTTGAGAACATAATTGGTTTTTTTTTTCAACTTCTTGTGAGTGCTTTTGAAAAAAATATATACATTCTAATAAATAAGTTGAAATAAATGGGCCTTAATTCAAGTTGAATGAAATAATGCATCATTATTTACTTAACATGTTCGATCCTAGAAGGATAGAGATGTCCAATAATAAATTGGTATCTTTATATATGATCTAAATGCTCTCTCTTAGGTACCTATAAGATAGGTACCTTGAAAAATAGCATATCACTATGTACTATAATAGTGACAACATAGCCAAAGAGAGGGGTGTGTACATATGACAACTAAAAAAAAGATTCAAGTGTTTGTACCTGATTGACTTAACCCTTGATTTATAGATGAGTTATCTGACAAGAGTGGACTTATGGGCCTCTTATGAATATTGGAGGTCAAATTCTTGATTCATTACTATCTCATTAGGATTAGTATAATTAAGAAATTTTTCCTTAATTTTTCTCTTAGCTATTAGTTCTTCTTGGGCCCTCTAAAATGTGGACTTTTATATCAAGTCCATAACATAACCGTTTTTAAAGGACAAGATAACATAAAACAAAGTTATATGGGCTTTTTGACCCTTATGACCCTTAATTAATAATTAATTACCAAATTACCCTTTATTTAAAACTATTTCGAAAACTTACCCTCCCCAACAAACATAACACCAATCTGCCCCTGTTTGACCGTTGACTACGAAGCCTACCCGGGTACACCCTTACCTACCCGGGTATATTTTGAAAAATTTTATCTACCCGGGTATGGAGGGGTGTACCCGGGTAGAGTTCTTGAGTCTGGGAAAATGGTTGAATTATTTACCCGGGTATGGAGGAGTGTACCCAGGTAAATAAGGCTCTTACCATAACCTTCGAGTATGGGCACCGCATCTCCACCAGGTGAAGTAAATGTGTCTCCTCAAGAAGCAGCACAATGTCGAAACGCTCTAGGTTGAAGAATGCCGAATCCAGTGATTTCGGTTCGCAGATCTTCCGGGTCATGAAAAACTTCACGAACTTCTCGTGTGCAAGTATGTCATCCTCAAACAAATATCCGAACGTCAAGTCCGGAGCCTGTCTCGAAGCAGCCTGGGGCTGAGAGGATGACGACCCATCGTGACGACTCTTGGTTCTTCTCTCGGAATGGGTCACTGGCAGCTTTGAAACGCGTCTAGAGGTCATTGCGTCACACTATTAAACTGAAAAAATAACCAAAATCAGAAATTAGATACATGTTAGGGTTAGGGTTAGGGTAAGCGTATGACATACAAATTGATAAAATAATTCGGACAGAATCAAATGATATAAACGAAAATACAATGAATCAGAACAGAAATCAGAACATAATTGAAAAAACTGAAAAAAAAAATGCACCTTTGATCGATTTCAATCGGTAGAAGGCAGAGAGGTTGCAAGGTCCGCAAATGATGATCAGAAACAAGACGAATTGGTGCAAGATTATGCCTGAAATCGCTCAAGAAGACACACCTCCAGCAGCTCTACTCGGGTACCCCTTTTGTGGGTTTTCGAAATGGGGCTGCTGGGGTATTTAAAAACCTTACCGTCGATGTTTACCCGGGTACACTCCTCCATACCCGGGTAAATAATTCAACCATTTTCCCAGATTCAAGAACTCTACCCGGGTACACCACTCCATACCCGGGTAGATAAAAATTTTCAAAAAATACCCGGGTAGGTAAGGGTGTACCCGGGTAGGCTTCATGGTCAACGGTCAAACATGGGCAGATTGGTGTTATGTTTGTTGGGGAGGGTAAATTTTCGAAATAGTTTTAAATGAAGGGCAATTTGGTAATTAATTATTAATTAAGGGTCATAAGGGTCAAAAAGCCAAGTTATATGGCTTGCTTTGTTTAATGGTTTTCATGACAATTACACTAGTTATGATGATATGTGATAAATATCTTGATTTAGATTGTATTAAGAAATGTTGTGGAAGGATATTATGGATTTTATGAAGTATATATATTTTTGTGATTGAATACTTGAGAAGCGTTGCGACATTAGTGAAGTAATTTATGAAATTATGACATCCATATGATTTGTTTTGCATTACGAAATGTATATATTGTGTTTCTGGTTTTGAAATTGGTTTTGGGCGAATGCCTTCTGTTAGAAAATTATATTTTCTAATAATTATTGTGGGTCACATATTATATTAATAATTATATTGTGCTATTTATATATATTGAGTAAATTAAAGTGATCAGGTAAATATTCCCAAATAGATTCCTAAGTGAGTATGGGCTGAATGAGTGGATACCGGTGTTGGGCCAACTAGGTATAATGGGAGCTTATTGGCCCAGCAATAAAGATAAAGACACTATAAAAGGTTATGGTCCCCAATACGTCAAAAATACCATCCCTAGTTTCTCTTCCCCATCAAGAGAGAGACGACACACTAAGGAATTCGGTTTTAGGGTGATTTGACTGAGGAAGACTACAAACCCCAAGAGACAAGATCAAAGTTATTCCGCTGCAATGGAGACAGGTATTCCTCCACCTTTATGTTGTTCTTATTTTTCTTTATGATTTGGTATGATGGATCTTGGCTTGTAGGTGATAGCTATCACCATAAAGTTTAGAGGAATTAAAAATTCCAACAATTGGTATCAGAGCCATCGTCATATTGAATCATGAGGGAATTAAGTTTTGTGATTTTTATATATGATGAATCGTGAAAAGTTTTGTTTTATTGTCTTTTGGCATAAAGTTTACTGTTTTTTGAATGTGGGTTTCATCTCATGTATTTTGTATTAGCTATATAGTGTTATTTTTGTTCCCTGACGGTAATTTTTGGTTTTGGAACAAAAGTTACAATCTTTTGAAAATCTAGAATTCGCAGTTTAATAAGGGTTTATTATTTAAACTTTTGAATCTTCTTAAAGATGGAATGTTTGGAAAAATTTTGGCTTTATAATTAAGGTTTGTTGTTTGAATTGCAAATTTAAATAAACAATGAATTCTCTTAGAAAATTTTGGACTTACGGTTTGAAAGAAATCAAATGTTTAAGGTCTTTTGTTTTGGGGTTTTCCTTATATTTGATATTCTTTGTTAAAAGCTAAATATAATTATTATTATTTTGGGTATTGTGCATCATTTTCAAGCTTTCATTTGAAAAGGCTTGCATGTGCGTCGATTGTGCATTATTTTTTAAGCCTTATAATGAAAAGGTATTTATTGTTAATGGAGACAAAATGAATTGCTGCAAATCACCGTCTCTATTGGCCTTAAAATTGTTGCAATGAATATGTTGATCGGGTTCAATTGGTTGCACAACATATTGGCGTTCAAATTGTTTAAACGTTATATATGTACGTTCCACTTATATAATTTTTCATTGTTGTTATTATTGTTACTGGTTGTGATGAATTATTGCAATCAAATGAAAACTAAAGTGATAAAGAATAATTTTCTTTATTGTTGTTATTTTATTTTTAAATGTGTTTATTATCCCTAAAGGTTTCTATTTGAAATTGAATATGATAGATTTGTTAGCTGCCAAAGTGGCCAAATTTATAAAGGTTAATTTGATTTCAAATAGGTTGGTCATATAAATATATTTTATTTATGCAAATAATAATCGGCCCACAGGAAGGTTATTGTTTGGCCAAATAACATATGTTGTATGATCATGTGTGTGTTTATTGCTTATGCGGATAGTGATCGGCCCACAAGAAGGTTATTATTTGGCCAAGTAACAAATATACATGTGGTAATAAATATGTGACAATTATCAAGAATTCTCCATGTAATTCATAGTCGGCCCACAGGAAGACTATGATTTGACAGGACTTATTGTCAATGTTTGATTACTACATTAAGAGTACCACTTACAAGTTGATATTTTTGTCCACAAACTAAATATTAATGTTGTGCTAGGTATCTTATAATAAACTCATTTTACTTCGGATTATTTGTCTATATCGTGTATGAATATATATGATATGACATGTTATTAGTATGTTATCTTTTTTGGTTCTCTGTATAGTTTCTGCTACCGCTGCCAATTATGTTGCTCAAATGAATATGCTTCCTATGCTTAATGGGGCAAATTTCAAGCTGTGGAAAGAGAATGTGGAAATTGTTCTTGGCTGCATGGATCTCGACAATGCGCTAAGGACTGAGAAATCCACTTCCACTCAGGAAAATCCAAACACGGATAAAATTGAGAAGTGGGAAAGCTCAAATCGCATGTGTCTGATGATCATGAAACGTTGCGTTCCGGAGGCGTTGCGTTCCGGAGGCGTTTAGGGGCTCGATTGTTGAGACTACTGATGCCAAGTTGTTTATGAAGGAACTCGAGCAATACTTTGCTCGAAATAAAAAGGCTGAAATTGGTCAAACCTTGTCCAAACTCATAAACATAAGGTATAAAGGAAAGGGAAACATAAGGGAGTGCATTATGGAAATGTCTAATCTTGCTGGAAAACTA